GAGTCTAGTACATTTCCTGCGGATTTTTATATTAAGTACATTAAGCTTCTTCAACTCGATAACATTTGGAGACATTAGGCTACCATGCTTTTGAACAGACATCCGATCCAATCAAAGTCATTCCCACGCTTCCCAACAGGAACCTCATGTTGTTTCTTACGTCGCGTTCTCCATCCTGCATCAATTTTGCATTTTGCGAAATGTGCACGTATCTCCTGTAAATTCTAAAGTTTAAGTGTGTTGACAAAAGCCATACGGTGTTCCTGCTCATCGTTTAATCAAGAACAGTGTCGTGACAGTATCTATGCCTTTGTATGAGCCATAGGCATAGGAATATAATTTTCAGATGAAATTGGTCGTGGAGCTGGGGGCGATAGTGCATGAAAAGTGGCTGACGCCGAGAAAAAAACGGCTGTGGTGGCTACCATATAAGCAGCAAGTACGAACAAGTACCGTATAAGCAGTACGATATCGGAAGAGTGTTGTTTAAGGACGGTAGGTATATTCTTCAAACTTTACCTATAATTAAGGGCCGCATCGCTATCGTCAGTCGTCCCAACAATTAGTGTAGGAGGCCTTTATGGCCTCCTTGATTTTCACAGGTTTCTACTGTCGTTTTACCGTTCGATTTTGAGGTTACATATCTATTCGCACCAAAATGTTCATACTTTTGGTTTATATCCATTTTATCAGCCTGAAATTTCCTACGATTCAAGAAGAAAACATAACTTCACAACCACAGCCTTTTGAAGACGAGATAATACTAGGAAAATCAAGGAGGCCATAAAGGAATCCTTCAATTGTAAGAATGACTGACAATACGGCCCTGAAAAGTATTTAATTACTTCAAGTCTGTCTATACCAGTCATCAAGGAACAGCATCAATTCAATTTGAATATCTTTCAAATAATGCAGCTGCTAATTAAACTGCAAAAATTCATTACCTGTAAGACTTTTATTACAAACTGGGACTTTATGTTTGTAGAACAATGAGTCTGTTCAGCGAAAGTAAATCTGTACAGCATTTTTATACTGAATAGCAGTAGCCATGGGATTTGATACATGTCATTAGGACTTTAGTTGGTTATATGACCAAATTAGGAGAATATTATTTTCTTTTTCAGATCTTGTACTTTTTGAAGTTAGGGGCACGTGATATTACCAATAGAACATTTGTAATTTTGAGGCGCCTAATATTCTATCATTTGGCAGTTAGCTACAATTATTTGGGAACTAGACAAGAGAAGAAGGTATTCAAAACTTCATTTCTCAACAAGGCTGTAATAAGTAAGTACTAACAGATCTTTATAGGTTCCCAAACAGTTTCAGACCTATTATTGCTTACAAATTTTGTTTTTTGTATCTGATGTAACTTGATGTACAAGTATATTCAAAAATCCTTTTTCGTGCGACAGCTTTATATATAGCTAAACAAGTAAAAAAATATTTACTAATACAAAAACTAAAACATAGAATGTTCTACCAGACAATTTATTCTGCATTTTAGCTGTCATATTTTATTTTTCCCCAGTCAAATTATATTGATTTTAAGTTATGGTTGGATTGTTTAATCTTATTTTGTATACAGTTGATTACATCACATCTATATATTCAAATTTTATTTCAAGGAGCTGTTCTTTCTTGCACCAATGCTACCAAAAAAGATGTGTGAAGAAGATGCCATTAAAACTTGGTTAAAGCTTGCACCAAAAAGCTATAAAACAAAATATTCATACATCTTTTTTATCCTACAGTAGTAGAATGTAATATTGTGTTAACCAAAAACAATATTCGACTTTGATTTTCTACTCACATTCTTTTTTTTTATTAGACAGTGTCACAAAGTGAAAGGAACTATAAGAAAGTTATTAGTGAGCATTAGTCATTAGACATGTTAGAAAAGAAGTTCAACAAATACTTAATAAAATAAATGCCTCTCAGGTTGTGGCTTCATCTCAACAACAGGGTGGTAGAGTCAGGTAATTCAAAATTTGAAGTAACAGGATATTTTGAGAAATGTGAGACATTTAGAGCAAGATTTTGACAATAGTGATAATATTGAACAAGATCTATACAGCACCTATATGCGAGGTAAATTCTTCACAACTATGCAGCTCTAAGGACCCAAGAATACATTAGTGCTTAATCTGATGCTCACAAAACTATTGTTTCATTCACTGAGATCATATTTAATTAGAAAGCTAATATGCAATGAAATGTATTAAAACATATCTGCAAAAGTTGTATCTATTTTCTTATTTATATATGTATATAAGTTAATATATAATCTTATCAGTATTCATTTATTTTTAAATCTCACATAAAATGTATGAGCAGATATAATGGTTTGTATTTAAAGCAATTGGTAAAATGTTGTTAACAAGACATATTTAAAACTAAAATGCTTACAACTTTGGACAAAAAATTAGAATACTCATGTTTTAAGAAGTTGTGATGACTATTCAAGTAGTTATTTCAAATAAAATTACTATAGTATTAATCCTTCATTTTGTCCGCCCTCACAATTCGAAACACATATATGCAAACATATTGTAAATATTTCTTCCACCACAGTGGCCTTTAGTACAATAACATTTGAAGGGTTGAGTGGATGAAGGTGGTAAGTAACATTTGGGTTAAAATGAGTTCAGTATGTTTGGTGAAGGCTATAAGTGGAATTCTGTCTGGAAAACTGGTTGTTAACAATAACAGTTATTGTCCACAATAGGACCAACCTGTTTTCCCAACAGAGTACTACTTCTAGGCTTCGCCAAATATATTGAACTCATTTTTGATCCAAATGTTATTTACCACCTTCATCCAGTTACTCATCACGTGAAATCGTGGTCAGACAGTGACGTCGATTCAATCTCACACTTCGCCCATAAATTAACGGACTTTCCACGTCGAAAAGAGGCATGCAAATGACGTGTGTAGATCACGTGAAATCGTCGTCAGAAAGTAACGTCGATTCTATCTGACACGTCGCCCATAAATTAACGGCTTTTCCACGTCGGAAAGGGACGTGGAAACTACGTGTATAAATCACGTGGAATCGCTGTCAGAAAATGACGTCGATTCTATCTGTCATTGCGCCCACAAATTCAATGGAATTTCCACGTCGAATAGGGCTGTGAATACTACGTAAGGAGGTACGTTGATTTCACGTGAAATATACGTGTCCTTGCTGGCTGGGCACACGTAACGGATATAGTACTTTTAGTAAAACTAAGTTTATATCTAACAATATTGTTTCAGCTTGTAGAGAACCCTGTACGTGAATAATTTAATTTTTGTATAAAACTTTCTCTCCATTTAATGTTTGCCGAGCTACGGAAAAGGGCAGGCAGATGCTCCCCCTTGCCCCCTCCCTGATTACGCCCTTGAGTGTTGGCACTCTTATACACGGTCGCATTGTAATAATAATAATAATAATAATAATAATAATAGCGTTTATTGTCCAACAGTTACCCCATTTATAGGACAATTACATAAGCACAATTAAATAATATTCAGTGGTGTTAAAAAAAAAGAAGTTATTTCAAATATAAATAAGCCATTCTAACTACTGTGTTAAGCGAACAAGTAAATATATCACAATGACAGCTAATACAATTTAGATGTTTACACATAACATATATAGGAGATTTGACTAACAAGTTGGTCCTAGCTCTTGATAGCTTAAAAGTTACATAGTTGCGTGAAGAGAACGAAGGAACATTGAAATTAATCTGTGCCAAAATGACTGGGGAGTCAATAATGCTATTTAGCAGTTTAAAAAGGAATATGGCAGATGAAACTTTCCTGCTGCATTCTAAACTATGAATTTCAAAACGCTCACATAGTTCCATATTGCTAATGCCTTGCTCAGGGTAAACTCCTTCAGATTTGAAGTATAGAAACTTTAGAAATTTTCTTTGGACCCTCTCAATATCATTTATATAAGTCTGGTAATACGGATTCCATACAACACTCGCATATTCTAGTTTTGTACGTACATATGTAAAATATAAGACTTTTAAGGCCCTTAAGTTATCAAATCGCTTACAGTTCCTGACAATGAAACCGTAAGACTTAAAGGCTTCCGAAACTTTCCGCGAAATATGAGTAGGAAACGTTAATTTATGGTCATATTATAATACCCAAATCTTTGACTATATCGCTTCTTTCCAGCACCACACCATCGATATTATAGTTGAATACACGAACATTTATAACCAAATTGGTGTCTGTAGATCGGTTGCTGACAAAACCGTGCTGTTTTTGTGATATTTGATTTTTTATTGAAGGATACAAGCAATTGTACAAGATTATTTCAAAGACTTTCGCAAAAATGCATATAAGAGAAATTGGACGATAATTCTCGACATCTGATTTTTCTCTATTTTTGAAGACCGGACAAACTTTGGACACCATGCAGCAGGAACACCCAAGTCTCAACTCCCGTCACAATTTGTGTCAAAAAGTCATACTCGTGTTCAAATTGTCTTGCAAGATTGTTATTACGCTGGGTTCCGATATATTCAATGGTACAGACCTTCACAAGACGACCTTCGGGAGGCATGGCTTCAACTTTTTGAGTAATTTCATCAACTGTTGCTGTTTTGGGTCTTCCACTTCTGGGATCGTTTTCTATGGATTCACACCCTAATCGATACTGTTTCGACTAACATTTGATTGTGTAATATGATGGTGCATCATCCCTATCGACGGCAACCATTCTCTCGAGAACTGTTTTAGGCTGATGACCATCTTTTGTCAGAAATTGTATGACACTACGGTACTCTAATTTTAAGTTACTCACCTTTCCTCATAATTCTCTTATAAATTGGAAACCGATTATCAACTAACTAAAATTTTGCAAATAAACTTAGAACACCTGCCACTAATTAACATATTACACTTGTGCATTTCAGTTGTTTTTTTCATTGCTAGGTAGATTTTTTCTCTAGTGCGCCTCGTATGTTTCAGTATATAGTGTCAGGTCTGACCTTTACATATGTTAATTTATAACTTTCTGAAGGGTAATGACGATTTTTGAACGAGACGCATAGCAAATCTTACTGTTTTTCAAGCTTGTCTAAAGCAGAAACGGGTAAATAATCTACAGCGCATCATTATACAAAAAGCTTTAGATAAGTGTATGTTCACTTATCAATTATTCAAGTTAATGCATTCGTCGAGATAACAAACAACAAGTGAACCGGCGAAATGAGACATTTGGTCGTAATCTTAGTGGCCTTTTTCGGAGGTATGTTCTTGTTTTTTTTTGATGGAGGCCCATCTATTAAATGTAATCTTAAAAAACTTTTACTCAAAACTCAAACATATTTTTTGGATAGTTTTGATTATGAATATCAATTTCAGCATGTTTCTGCCATAATGAAGGCTTGAAAATTACCCTCCCTCAAGGTATGCTTGAGGGTCACATAAAAGTAACGAAGGGAGGGAATAAGATATTAGCTTTTGAGGGAATTCCTTACGCTGAGCCTCCCGTTGGTGAAAAAAAGTTTCAGGTATAGTTTAAAATATCTCCTTTTCTTATGCAAAGTGTTAACAAAAAAACTTCGCGTGAAAGTAGCTGAAAGCATTAGTCATCCATTTTCTCTCTTTAGTGTGAAGGAGATTGGATTCGGAGAAAGAAATGCAATATTCATAGTAATGAAATTTTTTATCCAACATTTTAATGCAACAGTAAATTAATTTCAATGCTTCGCTTTTTATATCCTCGCAAAAAAGTAAGGAGTTTACTAGAAAATTTATCTGAGCACAAAATGACCTTGAAGGTCTTAGTCACGTCCATTGGCAAGGATATATAATTGAATTTAAGATTGTCCTCAATTTGCGTTCCAAGAATTAAAAATAGGTTTTGCCTTTTGAAAATTCAGTCAAATGGCGACGGTCATTGTATAAGTCATGGACATACTTGAACATGAAGTTTCAAAATCAAACGATCTTGAAGGTCATAGTCAAGGTCACGTCCAAGATCCTTTTTGACACACCTTATTGACGCCCTCGAATACTCATGAAGATCATGGTGATGGTCATGCGGAAACTGAAATTCCCTGCTCTTTACATTTCCCGTGTCAAAAATAGTGGTTTCATTAAAGAAAACCTTACAGCTTCGATCAACAACATGTTTTTCTAGGAAATGTATTTTTCGAGATATTTTGACCTATCCATACTTTTTGAACCTCCTGTACATTTTCGTGGATAAAATCATGCCCATAACCTTCCTCGGGTTTCATTTAGTAAGGGTGCAAATTTTTTCGTCAATCCGTATTGCGGTTCCGACGGCGACGTGATGTCGACAGATTGGACACACATTCTCGTTTATGTACGTATATAAAAATATTTAAATTGATTAATTTAAGATTTAGTAGGGAATAATTCCATATAAAGTGATGCATTGTGGAGCAACTAATCAAAACCATTGTTGATTAACCTCAATGTGCATATCGACGCAACTTCATCTTAAGGCTCAGTTACACTCATTATCAAGAATAAGTCATCTCGTTCAAAATATTTCCAGCAGCAAAGCAATGTAGGTGTATTGAACCTTCGTAGTGCTGGAAAACGATGTACCGAACTAAGGGGTAAAACTATAGAGCGTTAACTTCAGAGTTTACGAATCCAGTTTGTACTACTACAGATTATACGCATATGTATGTGTCCGACCCGAAGGCGATATCGAAATTAACTGCTATTGCTTCTTTTGACTACAGGTGTGTCCATCTCGAGACAAAAACCTTCTGCAAATTCCATTGCCTTATACACGGTCTCGTTTTATCTCTATTATCAATTAAAAAGGATTTTTCATTTTGACTAGGCACTTTCTGAAACCTAATCCAACAATTTGTAGATACTTTTGGGTGTGATTGACTTCTTGGACACTATTCCATAGAAACAAAAATGCGAAATCACGCACTACAGATAGTAAAGTTTGAGCTGCTTTCTCTATTGACGACACTTTCGCCCCGACGTCTTTTGCGGTTCTTTGCTAGGCAAATACGCCCTAATAAGCTATAAGCCCTTTTAGACCAATTTTTTGACACCCTCTACAGGGTTGTCACCCACGGCTTTCCGACCCCCACGCACCCCCTTCCTACGTCGCCGTCCACGACAAATCTTGATGTGGGGTCTCTCAGGAGCAAGCTATGCTAAATATCGCTTGATTAAAAAGACTATAAAGAATTTGAACTATAATTTTGCGCCACCCTCTAGAAATTGAGCTACATCATTGCTTTTCTTAGGAAGCGAAGCCTCCGAAACCATGGAAAGGGATCTGGCAAGCGAAGACACTATACAAATGTATTCAGTACGATTATATATCACCAGCTAGCAAGGACAGAGTATCAGGTAAAATACAAAGTGTTAAAATGTAAGAAAACAAGTTTTAATTAGACGCGAACTACCACATAAGAAACGGATGAGGTGAAATCGTAAAGATGGATTCATAGCATGAACTTTTTGAAGCAGGACTTGTAGAGTTTATTAATGATATAATGACTATGGAAGGCTTTGCTCCGCCGATTATTTATTATAAAGTCGGGTGCGATGACAAATTCCTTCTACTCACACTGACAGCAATGAAACTCAAAAACACAGACGCGGCGGCGAGTCTTCCGCGTCATCATTTTGTCAATGCGGTGCCTTGCTTTGTTGACACCGGTCACCGACGTCTAAATTATAAGACGAGCTCACGTCAAAACGTAACAAGATAAGTAGATAAGTCTTAAGCCCTTCGGAAGAGTTCAATAAAACTTGAATTGACTAAATAATGATTAAGTTTACAATAATAAAAAATGTTTGAAAAGTAACATAATGAAATAAAGCTCTACTTAATAATTTGTTTGTTTCATTCATCCAGTAAATGAAGGAGTAATAACTGTTTATTTTCTTACAGTAGCTTTCCACGGTCTACCCACCTTAGTTTGCGTATAACATGTCATATGGTCTCACCAACTACGCAGTTGATAATGCAATATTGCGTCATACTTATTCAGCAATGATAATAACTTAATTTTTACCCATTGTTCATTGTACGTCTAGAATGTATCTTCAGCAGAAAGCCCGTGTGCCTGAGCCTACAGTATATTCAGATAAGAGATAGACCGGATGTAAACAAAAGGTTCGGGTGATTTTCACGCTAACGCCGCCGTCTCGACGTAAAACAGGAGCCCTCATTGGTCAATTCGCAATTAAATGCCTATGCCGAGCGGCAGAGCAGTCGTATCAAGGCAGAGTCACATTCAGGTTCAGACGTGTTACGTATGTCGTGTGCATCATTGCAATTTGATATTTCTATGGACGTTTTCGTTTGTTATCTTATTAAGTTGTTGAGTTTGTCGTTGTTATTGTTATACCTTGTTATTGATTGTTATTGTTATCAACTGCTTGCGCAAAATGCCCAGTAGTACAGATACTGCCGATGAAGTTGTAAACTCCTGTAGTCCACCTAGGAAACGCTCTAAAAAAAGACACCTGAGTGCAGAAATGAAAGAGGTCATTTTGAATATATATAAGATCGAGCGCGAGGAGAACGAGGCATCAACCATCAAAGAAATTGTTGTGAAGGTTTCTCACAAAGTTGGGGTGTGTCGCGCATCAGTGTTTAATGTGTTAAGACAATACAAAAAAATCACACCTTTTCTGAGCCAATGACCAGTAAACATCGCAAAAGTATTGTTAAATCATTGGATGAAGCTGATAAGCATGCGATTAGGAGGAAAGTGCATGAATTCTTCTTTAGGAATGAAATACCTACTATAGATAAAGTACTGCAGGAGGTAAATGGAGATACAACGTTGCCAAATTTCAAACGATCAACTTTCCATGCGTTACTGAAGCATTTAAATTTCAAATGGAAAAAACGGGGTCGTAATAGTTTACTACTGGATAGAGAAGAAATTGTGCTATGGAGGAGGGATTATTTAACAAAAATTGGGAAATATAGAAATCAAAACAGGAAGATTTATTACCTTGATGAAACGTGGGTAAACGCAGGACACACTACAAGTAAAGTATGGGTTGATGATTCTGTAACTTCATCCAGGAGGGCCTTTCTAGATGGACTGTCCACCGGATTAAAAAATCCAGCAGGTAAATACGAGTAATACACAACAATCGGATGTTTTTCAAACCTTGGGAACAAGGTTCTAAACATTAATTCCAGGGGGCAGATAAAACATATTACATGTAACAAAACTTTTATAACTTTCGATAAAATGCGTGGATGTTTTATTGTCATTTTCATTTGTTAGAACTTTTTTAAGCCATGTTTTTATGTGTTTTCGATATTTCAATAATTTTTTAATATAATCTTAAAATATGTCGAATATTATAAACTTAAAAAAAGTTACTAAGTTTTATATTGTGTACCGTTCCTAATATTTCTAATCATTTGAATTCATACTTTAAGCTTTATAAAGTTATAATTTGTTAATATTAATATTTGCGCGTATTTCAGGTTCCTGATCATTCATTTTTTAAAGGTTTATAACTTTAAATTAAATTGTGAAGCGCTGAGTAATCATACGACGTTCAATATTCTTTCTTTCAATATGACTAAATAATCCCAATTATAGCAATCTGATACTCATGTCTCAATGTTTTTTCGCTGAATGTGATGAAAACATTTGAAAAAGGTTCGCTTATTGAAATAAATCTACACCAGTTAGTACTTCGATTTCCAGGTAAAGGGAAAAGGCTCATTATCTGCCATATTGGCAGTGAGGATGGATTTGTTGTTGATGGTCTGTGGTGCTTTGAGTCTAAGAAAACTGGAGATTACCACGAGGAAATGAATGGCGAATCGTTTGAACAGTGGTTTTCAAAAATTTTACCGAACTTAGAGGAAAACGCAGTAATTGTGTTGGATAATGCGCCTTATCATTCTCGAAGAATGGAGAAGGTCCCAACAACGGCTTCAAGGAAAGTTGATGTTCAAAATTGGCTCCGCTCGAAAAATATCAACTTTGAAGAAGCAATGCTGAAAGTACAATTATTAAGAATTGTCAAAGATCACAAGGCGGAATATCAAAAATACGCCTTTGACGAAATGGCAGCAAGTCAAAATAAAACTGTGCTCCGTTTACCTCCATACCATTGCGAGCTCAATCCCATTGAGCTCATATGGGCAGAGGTTAAAAATTATATAGCTAAGCACAATACAACTTTTAAATTTTGTGACCTCAAAGGACTTTTCAAAGAAGCACTAGAATTAATAACAGCGCAAAAATGGGAAAACTGTATTAAGCACGTGAAAGACAAAGTTGAAAAGAGAATGTGGGAACTGGACAATATTTTAGAGGAACAAGTCGAGCCATTCATTATTGACGTTGGTGCTTCAGGCAGTAGCGATGATGAAAGCTCATCAAGCTCATCTTTCCAATAAAAGATGTCGTTCATGAAATTCGATAAGTTATAAGTAATTATAAAGCTACTGTATTTTTTAATTAATTATTGACATTTTTGAACCCATTTTGGCAAAACCTATTCAAGAATCTACTTTCTGACAATGTTCAACCATGCACATTTTTTTACGTTTTGAACGTTTTAATTTGGTTACATATTTACCTAGAAATCAAAAAATATACTAATCAATATTCTAAAAGCAATTTTAAGAGATATACGATTATTTTTAATTTAGGCTAATTTAAACGCCATTTTGAGATTATATTCGACTGTATTTAACCAAACATCAGGCGGCATCCGAAGCTCGAAATCGAAGCGAAAATTTTGAAACCATTATGTATATTTACATCATTATATATTTCTTACCCCACCCCCACATGATCCTATATCCATCACCAATCGTATACACATCGAATTGTGCTAATTTACTACAAAGTTACGCAAAGCAGCATCTACTATCTAAAATATGTACTGCGTGACTCTTAATACGTCCCTGCCGAATGTTACAGCGTTCGATGATCACGTGGTCTTGTTTATGTCCGGTCCATCTCTTATCTGAATATACTGTAGATGCCTTGTAAGCACGACCTAAAATATAAACCTGTTCTGTTGTTCAATATCCGATTAGATTCCTTACAGTCAATTGTAACCGTTTGTAAACCATTTAAAAAAATCTAAATCTATTGATTTTAGATATATGTTTTTAGGCGATGAAGACTGTTTATACGTCAACATTTACACTCTCGATACAAACCCATCGAAAAAATATGACGTGTTGGTATACATCCACGGAGGTGCATTTTTTCTTGGTAACGGGGGCGTTTATGAACCAAGTCGTATAATGGATAGACCCATAGTTTATGTAAATTTCAACTACAGAGTAGGACTCATGGGTGAGTATGCATATTAGTCCTATTTGAGAATATACTTATGTGACATTGACGTATACCTAAGAAACTGGATCTCTGCAAAACTGTCAATGTTTAAGAAAACATTGTTCAGTGGCTGGAGACCTTAGGAGTGTTTGCGTAATTATATGAGGGAAACAGAATTCAAGGATTTAAATTTTGTTATAGGATTTTTAAGTACTGAAGACGATGTATTGCCAGGGAATTTGGGGTTGAAAGATCAACAGGTGGCGTTGAAGTGGATAAAGGAGAATATTCACCACTTTGGAGGAAACCCGGACTCTATAACGATCATGGGAACATCAGCAGGGGGTGCCAGTGTAGATTTTCACTACGTAATGCCCAAATCAAAAGGTTAATAGATACCGATCTCACTTGCTTTTGATTCAAACAAATTTTACGCATCAAATTTTCAGGATTATTCAAGAGAGGTATATCTCAAAGCGGTTGTACCCTAAACCCTTGGGTGTTGGTGGAGAAGCCTTTGGAAAAAACTAAGAAGGTAGCTGAACTTGTTGGGTGCGATACGCGTAACAACAAGGAAATGGTTGAATGTCTGAAGTCGAAACCAGCTAGACAGATTGCTAATACAGTTGGGAAGTTACAGGTGATATATGCGGATATACTCAATGACAAAGAAAATAGAATACCCAGTAAAAATGAGCTGAATGAAATTTTATACAGTCAGACAAGAGGAAGTCGCGAGCCAATTAAAACATTAACTGTACTGTATATTCGTTCACTCATTGGAGCATCGTTCTCAGGAGGTGATCTATGTCTTCCTGAGATATCTCTTCCAAGCTACTGTAATTGGTCACAAAGAGCTGCTAATGTTCTTGGAGGATGAAGTAAAGGGCTCACTCTCTCTCAAGTCATATCCTACACATGTTCAATGGGTCAAAGGTCTGCAGATCTGGGAGATCTAGTCTCATTATGGATATACGGTTGTGCCGAAATACCGCATTTATACAACTTAATCTAGAGGTGACAGCACCGTATGTAATAGTGCCTCAAACCAAAACTGCTATAGTACGGTGCTTGTTACGTTCAAATGAAAACTTATATTACGTCTTTCTCCTCACTCTTTCTAACATTTTTGCACAAATTACGTGTTAAAGCGCCATATCACAGCCGACGTTAGCTGCCATATAAAACTGAATGCTTGTCATCCGTTTCTGAGGAATGTTGTCACCGAGTGACGCAACGCGTGCGAAAGAAATAGACCCAACACATTTGCAGGGAAAGTCAGCAATGCGGCAAATGCCCAAAGTTTAAAATGCATTCACAACTTCCTCTTATTTATGTCTAACTAGTTACAAAATTTGAAATAAAGGCAATTTCACTGGGTGTAATGTTTTCTTTGTCACGGACTATATTTATAATATTGCTCCTCACTTTTATCACCACAGTTATCAACATGCCAATATAAGCTATTACATATTTTCAGTCATGGAAGTATAATCCATTCACACCGGTAGGCCCAGTTGTCGACAAGTGGGCAAGAGATCCAGTTTTGCCCGACCATCCGTATACATTAATGAAAGCGGGAAAAGTTCAGGACTTACCATGGATGATCTCCTTTACAGCAGATGAGGGGCTTTTCCCAGGTGCAGGTGTGTACACAATCGTGGAAGTTCTAAAAGCTCAAAATAAGAAAGTCACAGGAACGAAAAACATGTATTTCCATTATTTCAATTTTGCAGATTTTTACAACGATGAGGATCTGGAACATTTGGATAAAAACTGGAATGAGCTTATGCCTCACATTTTGCATTACGCAGATGTTGTGGATTCAAAAGCTTCCATTGCAGTAGGAGATATGATAAGAAAAGAGTATTTAGGAAGTGAAAGGCTAACCAAGCAAACATTTAAGAAATTAATAAAGGTAAGCAAGATTTCCTCTTATGATCCAGAACGTACGCGGTATGAACTCTAAGTGTAAAGAATTCTTTGTAAATGTCGCTATGTCTGACTATGATATCATCTGTTGTACTGAAACTTGGCTGCAGTCGGCAGTACTTAGTTCTGAATTATTTACTGACAAATATGTTGTATTTAGAGCGGACAGAAATTTCTCTGCGATGGGGTGTTCTAGAGGAGGTGGTGTCTTAATTGGTATTCGTAATCAACTTGCTGCATCAGAGGTAGATATGACTTTTATCAGAGACGATATTCCCAGTATTGACATAATTGGAATCAAACTTAGATATAAAAATGAAGTGACTTATTTCTTTGTGATATACATACCGCCTGACACGAATACTTCCTGCTATGAAAGATTCTTTGAACATCTAGAATCGCTTGATTACCTCTTTGGCAAAAGTATTTATATACTAGGTGACTTTAATGTTCCCGAATTTTTTAATGAAAATCACCTCCAATCTTCTCACAAGCAGAAAACAATCCAGTCATTTATGGGTTTCTTCGATCTTTCTCAATTCAATGATGTTCGGAATGAAAATAATAGGCTATTAGATTTAGTGTTATCAAATAAACAATGTAGCGTCGTTAAGGCTTATGATGACCTACTACCTGAGAATGTTCATCATACTCCGCTTGTCATGATAATCAACATGAGCTTCCATTCTAAAAAGAGTATCAAATGCGCCAGAGAATCATATAATTTCAGAAAAGCCAATTTTGTAGCACCATATGAACAAATAAGCTTGGTTAATTGGACGTTTCTTGACAATTTAACAGATGTAAACGTAGCTTTGGAAACATTTTATAACATTATTCGTAAAATTTTTAATATGTGTGTCCCTAGGACAAGTCTCAGATCTCTCATATTTCCAGTTTGGTTTAACGGTGAAATGATTAGAGACATTAAAAGAAAAAATTTGCTACACAAAAAGTTTAAAAAGGATAAAAGTTTGATCACATACACTGAGTTCAAAGACTTAAGGACCAAAATTAAGCGCGATGAGCGTAACGCATATCAAAAATATCTAGTAGATATCCAAAGTAGCCTATCTCAGGATCCGAACAATTTCTGGTCATTTATCTGTAGTAAAAGGGGACAAAATTCCACAATCAGCCAAGTAAACTATAATGGTAAGCAGTATGACAAACCCAATGAAATTGCTAATGCTTTTGCGCTATTTTTTCAATCTGTATATACTATGCCCTCGAACGCAACTGATATCAATATTTCGGACTTGCATACTAACATAATACTTCACAGCTTTTCCGAAGAAGAAGTTTTTACAGTGTTAAAGCAAATGAAAAATAACTTTACCTCCGGACCCGATGGAATTCCATCATTTTTAGTGCGTGACTGTGCCTAACATACGTCTTAGCTCATCCCTTGACAAAGATCTTCAACCTATGTTTAAAGACTGACACGTTTCCTGAAATTTGGGGCGAATCAAAGGTGCGTCCCATTTTCAAGAAGGGTGATAGACTACAGGTTGAAAATTATAGACCGATAACCCTAGTATGTATCTTTTCCAAGGCCTTAGAAACTTTGCTTCATAATTTCCTATACCACAATACACATTCCCAAATAAGTACTTCTTAGCATGGCTTTATGAAGGGTAGATCAACCATAACTAACCTAGCCTGTTTTACTCAGTCAGTCTCCTCTGCATTAGATGCTAATAGGCAGGTGGATGTAATTTATACAGATTTTAGTAAAGCATTTGACAAACTTGATCACAGTATTCTGTTAACGAAGCTGAGCTATTTTGGATTCTCCCCCAAGCTGTTATCCTTTCTTAAGTCATATCTATCAGGAAGAAAGCAATATGTTGAATATGAGGGTGTCAAATCCATTGAATTCTTCCCAACCTCAGGGGTACCTCAAGGCTCCTGCTTAGGTCGTTTGCTTTTCATACTGTTCATAAACGATATTGTTAGCGACATCGACAGCAGCCACTTAATCTATGCTGATGATCTGAAATTTTTTTCCAATGTCGACTGCAGCACTGACTGTGTTCACTTACAAAAAGACCTAGCCAAAATAGTTAAATGGTGTGCTGTAAATCGACTTCCAATTAACTACAGTAAATGTAGTGTTATGTCTTACACCAGAAAGCTAGATATTATTGCATTTGACTACAGAATTGGCAATCATTCTCTGCTGAGAGACCAAGAATGCAAGGACCTGGGTGTGATTTTTGACATGTCACTTAGCTTCAATCCTCATATTGAGTACCTTATTAATGCTGTCAACAGATTATTAGGATTTGTAATACGTAACTCAAAGGAATTAAGTAACAAAGATGCCATGATTATGCTTTATAATTCATTCATACTGTCGAAATTAGAATATGGACGGCTAATATGGAATCCATGCTATGTTACAACTTGTGGCTCTCTGGAGAAGATTCAGCGGAAATTTCTTTCATTCAAAATTGACGGTACGTACCCACCCATTGGGGTCCCACAGGAAGACCTGTTACGTAAGCACAAGTTTATCAGTCTTGATAACAGAAGAAAGATTCACTCGCTAATATTCCTGCATAAAGTAGTGCATAGCAGTTACGATTGTCCATCATTTCTAGCACAGATTAAATTTAATGCTCCAAAATTTGTTACTCGCAATACACTCACTTTTTACCTACCTACCCCACGAACTAACTTACTGTTGCACTCACCTTTGTACTCGATGTGTTCATGTTATAATAGTCTACAGAGTACATTTGATTTGTTCAACACAAGTATTTCGAATATTAAGAGAGTTTGCAGTGAAATGATTTAGTTTTTAGTTTTCGTTGTATTTTTATATGTTTTTTTTACTATTTCTATTGTTGTTTTGCCACCAGTAATTGGTTAACACTGTTGGTGGTGGATTTCAATAAATAAATAAATAAATAAATAAATAAATAGAGACATAATGAGCTGTAGACAAAAAAGGATAGACATAAGATAGATTGGTACCCCCATAATGATAATGGAACGGATGAGGTGTAATGTTATATCTGACATCCAAAAGGAATATTTCGTTGTCTGGGAATTAATTACCAAAGTATTATGTTTTTCTTTCAGGCAATTGGAGACCGACTTTTCGTGGCAGATATAGAGAAGTCTGCTCGACTTCATTCAGCTGCGGTCAAATCTCCAGTGTATCACTACTCTTTTGCATATGAAGGAAGTTTAAGTATCACTTTGGTATTGGGCAACACTAGAGAATATTTAGGTATCAATATATTTGTAATTCTTGACATAAAAAACTTAACAAGTTTTGCAATTGCAATAGACCTAATTTTGATTTTTAGTTTTTTGTACTTTCATCTTATCAAATTTTCATGTTATTCTTGGTATTTTAGGTGTGGCGCATGGTGACGATGCGATGTATATTCTACCCTTGGTTGATATAGCAGTAAGTGAAAAAGACAGACGTATGGCAGATACTCTGATTGGCATCGTCGTATCCTTCATGAAAAATGGGTAAGAGTAATTTCATGTTCCTTCAATAGAGTTTCATTTTTCTGTATTCACAGGAAGCCGGATATAATAAATAACTGGAGGCCATTGGATAAGGACGTTACAAGTCCTTTGAATCAGTTGAAGATTTCTGGTCCAGATGATATGAAAATGGTCCAAGTAGAGTCTATTGGGAACAGTGAATTTTGGAATAGTTTGCCGTTCAAGGAAAATGAAAAAATATCAACTCATGATAAAGACGAACTATAAATTATTCAAGATTTTCAAACTAATTATCTACAATAAGCAGTAATACATATAATTTGTAAAGTGAAACCATTGAAGTGTCGAATAAAACTACTTCGTTGTGATAAAAAATGCGTCAAATAGATTGACTCTGCACTTCCTATGCAACCCTGTCATCAGTTCATAAAGGATTATCTTCGGCACAAGTTGGCCCCTTTGAGAAAAAAGTTAGCTACGAACATGCTTTGCAAAAACATTAAATAGGACAAGTTAGTCAAACAGGCTCATCAAATTAAGACGTGCCTAAGGTACTTTTATACAGTGCTTTTCAGAAATGTGCTACCCTACAAGATGACGCGCCCAGCCACCATTTTGAAGATTTCAACCGTTATTTATTAAAATATAGTATTCGTGCGTCAATTTAATCGTGTCGAATTTCAGACATTTTCGAAAAGCACTGAATAGATCAAGAATTTTTGGCATACCTTGGTGCTAATAGCAGGGTATTGGCTATTGCAATCTAGAATCAATCAGTTCTTTATATCAGTTCTTTATATTCCTTATACGCGTGGATTGGCGAACAGTTTGTTCATACATACGGTGGATGATTGACGAATACGTCAACTAATGGCTGATCTAATTTCGTATCTATAACATTACTATCGATTGATGTTTTCGTGGCTTGACTTAATCTTCACAATATATAGCTTTGGATGTAACTTTGCCACAAGGCGTGCTGGAGGGTTTTGGGTTTTCACGATAGGTAAAAGTCAAGGTTATCTATTCTTTTGAAGGAGAAGGAGAGGACTTCCTGTAGGACTTTTGCGATTCAAGTTAAGTAAATGGTATAGATCATGATTAGTTATTTACATCTTAGAGGATAGCAGATCGTTGAACAATTTTCATCAAAAAAAAAAAAAAAAATAAACAGAATCATACCCCCTTTGCTGATCATTCCTCGGAGTATCGGACTACATTTTGTGGACAGGTCTCGCTGTCTACTATTTTTGTCATTTCATTTCTGTTTTCACTATAAGCCCACGCTTCACAAAAAGACTAACACACTAGACTCGAACTAAGCCTTTTTATTTTGATGATGAACTAAATGTACTAACAAACCTTGCAGGTCACGAAGACCGAAGATAACAAAATTCTTAAGATTATTTGAAAATAAATGAATCACGTCTAGATGGTATAACGGCTCGAGTTTTGAAACATATATCTACCTCCATCCCACGTCCTATTTGTTTTCTCATCAAGCGTTGTTTGGACTCGGGTGTTTTCACAAATATCTTGCATAATTTGCAGTTGTTAAGCCCACTTTCAAATCAGGTGAAAGAACGAAGATGGAAAATTTTAGACCGATATAAATATTATCGGTTTTCAGTAAACTATTTGAAACTGACTTAAAAACAAGATTCAATGCATTTATTGATCAATATAAATTATTATAGACAATCAATTTGGTTTCATAGAGGTTGGATCAACACAAGATGCAACCGTTGATATTTTAGGTGAAATATACAATTGCTTAGATGAAGATGATTGCTGTCTGTGTATCTTTGTTGATCTAGCCAAAGCCTTTGATACCGTGAATCATAGTTTGCTGTTGAAAACATTAGAAAACTTAGGCTTTGGAGGTAATGCCTACAGGCTTATGCTTAAGCTACTTAACCAACAGAAAACAATGTGTGAAAATCGAAGATCATTTAAGCGAAGAACGTGTTATTAATTATGGTGTGCCATAGGGTACTGTTTTAGGACCTGTCCTCTATTCTTATTATATGTCAATGATCTTTTCACTTTGAACTTACGAGGCAAAATAACGAGTTTCGTAGTCGACACAGTAATTTATTACAAGGATAAATCATGGGAATTGGTTCGAAAAACAGCAAAGTTAGATTTTGAAAATATAATCAGATTTCTTCGCTCTAAAATTTTAACAATAAATTATTGGATGGGGGTGGGGAGGGGGTTAGTACTGCGTACGGCATTAAAAAAACTTGAGGTTGTACAAAAATGGATTATTTTAGCTGTCAACATTCTCTACCCAACCAAAAAAGTATATCAGGATTCTTGTGTTTTTAGTATCAGACAATAATATTGTATGAACTTGCTGTTATTTGTTTATAAATACAAACATGCTCTGCTCAAACCAGATCATAACCATGAGACAAGGTGTAAAACACTATCACTCCAGACCCGAAGGATGAAAAAGCAAATTGGGCAAAGGTCATTCGAATATATAGGCCTACGAGTCTATAATCTTCTGCCTGATGAATGTAGAGAACACAGTAGTTACTAGTTACGTATAAAACTGTGGATACAAGAACAATCGTATATGATGAACGAAATAATAAATAATGTATATTCAGACTTACCTTCTTCTAGAACTGTAGAGATTTATAAGGTTTTAAATTCAGTTTATTTAAACGGATATATATGATACGAGCCCCTTCCCTCTTCAGATGGCCTACTTCAAGATTTGTACCAAAATATGCCTTTATAAACTAAACATGACGAAACTATTTACTTCTAAAACAATTTATTTTCTCAAAAACATTTTAGATACAATGTAGTCGTAAAAAATACATATTTCACTTAGACTTATAACTAATAGAACAAATAAACAATGTGCGAATAAGTGCGCAAACGCGAAGTTAACAAAGCAACAATTGAAAGATTACCATTGGGTAACATCACCTTTATTTTTTATTACGGCTGAAATTCTTTGGGTCATAGTGTTAACCAAGTTTTGGAAAAAAATTGGTGTAAAACAATCCCATATTTCTTGAAGGTGTTGTCTCAGTTCGGTGATTGTACGAGCAGGATGTTGTCGTAGAACCTTTTGTAGTGTGGTACATTATTTTCTTCCATCCATTTTATAGCCTTTTTTGAGGTATGGCACACTGCACCATCTTGCTGAAACACAAAATCTTGGCCGGATGTAAAACATTCTTCCATCACTGGTAAAAGCGACTCTTCTAAAATTGCCAAATATTTGTTTGTATCCACATTTCGATCAATAAAATGAAGTTTTCCTACTTCTTTTGATGACATACTGCCCCAGACCATAATGGATGCTGGAAATTTCACTTTTCTCTTCAGACAGTCAACATGGGATGCTTATTTTTTTTGCGAATAACTCTACTGCGACTGTCACCAACATAAACTTCGAATCGGGCCTCATCACTCCATTGTATTGCACACCATTGTTGAGGTGTCCATTGTCTATGTTCTTTAGCCCATCTAAGCCGATTTTTCTTTTGCAGTGGAGTTGATAGTGGCTTTTCTTTGGCTTATAAACAAGTTGTGCAAATTTAGGGTTTTTGCTTCACTTTTTTTATAAGAAAACTTACCTTGCAAGTGCTAAATCCCAGTTTGTGGGCCTCTCTATGAGTTTGCTGTGGACCTCGAAATTCTCCTTCTAACAGCGTCACTCCACAGAGCACTTAATTGTAAATAATTGGCACGCCTGTTTTTCACGATTATTCTTCTTAATGCTCTTCGGTCAGCATTTATGATATTACTTTTTTTCACATATCGTGGCTTAATATTAAATGAACCAGTTACGTTGTATCTTCTAACAATATTTCTCACACGGTACCGCGGTATCGTGGTGGCCACTAAACCAGATTTAGTCCGGTCGTTTCTAAAAAGTCTAAACTAACACGTGCGATATCAGGGCATGCATTGTCCTGCTGAAAAAGTGGATCTTGCAATGTTTCCATAACGGGAAGCAGATGTGGTTGTAAAAATTCGTGAATGAATACAAATCGTGACCTGCTGCCTTAAGCAATGGCAAACCGAATCTCGACTCATCGCTGAACACCGCTGAGTTCCATTCCATATTACAATCAAGTCGCTCCCTACTGCATACCAATCGTTGTCGACGAGGCTGTGGGGTCAGAGGTAGTACAAGATGGGGCGGTATGAAAAAAGTTCAAAAGACCTTATTCGATGATAAACTGTCCTCATTTTTATTTCCCTTCTGAGACCATCAAACCACTGGTTCGCAACTGCCCTTGTTGTGGAAAATCGATCTCCAACTGCTAGTTGCATCAAATAACGAACCTGTCGCTCTGTAGTCTGTCTTTGACGTCTAACTCGTCGATTTCGGTTTTCTTGAAACCACGCTCGACCACATCTCATAGAAGCTTCGTTTCGATTCACCCGATTAGCGATTTCTCTAAAAGAAAATCGGCTTCACGTAACTCGATTATCCGAGCCCTCTCAAACTGGGAAAGTTGAGGGAAATTAGCTCGTCTGCGTACTCTAGGCATGATAATACTATGAAACAACAATAAAAAAATGCCATCAACACAGAAAAATCACTGAATATCAGGTAAACATGTTAATTTTGTCCGGATCCTGATATGACAAAAAAGCCTTTATCAGCGTATACTTCCATGATAGCAAATATGTTTACAAGTTTTTATCAAAATTCAGTAAATAATACGGAGTGTTGCAATTTATATGTCACTTAGTATATTAATTTGATGAGTTCTTAATTGCATAAAGATGTTTCGCTATAAGGTATCACATCTGACCTTTATGCACTGTTAGTTTATATCTCCCTAAAAAATAGTGATATTTTTTTAACGAGACGCTGATAATTAAATCGTAGATTGTTTTTCAAGTTTATCTATGCTACCAACGAGTAAACAATCTACAGCGTATCATTATTTGAAGCGATTTAACTTACATATTTGTATATTGAATTATCAGTTACTCCAAGTGAACCGGCGTTATGAGACATTTGGTCGTAACCTTAGTGGCCTGTTTCGGAGGTATGTTCTTGCATAGCATGTATCTATTTAGATTTAGGAAAAAAATAAACGCGACACACGCAATATATTGGTCAAATTCGGTAGGTTATAACTTCCCATTGGCATTAGTTTGCATATTTAAAAATCAAAACGATGTTCCAATGGACCAACTTTCAATCACCATGTAATGTGACTTCGTTAGCCAATCAGGCCACAATGTTTTCCATTATCGAGCATTTTCTCCAGAATCTGATTTTTTATTTACGTCGATATGTGCATTGAAGTTGTGGAGTCAAATGTCCCTTTTACCATCAATTAGCCTTCTTCAATTTTACAATTTTATCAATTCGCTTGCGAACACAAACTTTTTTTTTCTGGTGATGCGTTCAGTTTTTGTTAAAGCGTCTTTCATTTCGCTTTTCTACAGAGTCGGAGAAAATTAAAACCGTTGTCTTAATTTTGGAACACCCTGTAAAATAATTTTATGCTCTAGTCTCCTGAAATTCAATTCTAGGACAACAAGCGTATCTTCCTTATGCTTTCATTTGGACTCGTGACAATTCGAGCGAGAATTATTCTTTTGGAGCAGAATCAACCTAACACTTTTCACAAATTTTCAGTATTATAATTTTTAGTCGTTCTTAGACCGAATATTGCACCTAGATAATTTTTATTCATTTTGTGTATGGGAGCACGATTTGGGTATATTCTGCATTATACAGAATGGTTCATTATTAAATTATACCGTCTAATACAAAAGTCCCGGAACGGCTCTGTATTTTCTCGGGTAAGGTAATTTTGGAAAAGTTCAAGGTCAGGTCTTCAGTAACTTTCAGTAAGGATTCCAATGGTGACCTTGGATTTGACCTTGACCTTCATCTTCAAGGTTAATTCATGGTCAACTTTATTTGTTCAAACAGAGACCCCTATTTTGATACCGGCAATCGAACAGAAAATTTTATGTTACAACACAATTATTGTCCGAGGTCATAAAATCATATAAATCTCACAGGATTAGTGATGCAAATAACTATCAAGGTAGTGTAGTAAATTTTGACGATAATCTTGGATTTGGCATTGAATCACACATTCAAGGTCGTTTTTTTGCAGATAGAAACCCGCAAGAACAGTATGTGTTAAACATTATTTGTAACGAACACCGTAGTTGCCTCGCTAAGACTTACCCCAAGATTTGACCTTGCCAGTTATTTTCGTCACTATTCGTGTGAGATTTTTAATGGTTCTCTTTGCAGCACACGTTTGGCCTTTATGTGACCTCTAGTGGTCACCTTGACCTTGAATTCTAATTCACATTTGAACATAAAATGTTCCGCCTTCTAGATTGTCGGCATACCGAGAATTTACCAAAGACCTGACCTTACCAGTTATTTTCGTCACGATCTCTGAGACATTACTAGAGGTTCTCCTAGCAGCACATATTTGACCTTTATTTAACCTATTTGACGTCCAGCGGTCATATTCATCTTGAATTTTAATACATATTCGAATGTAAGATTTCTTTCTCTTCCCATTGCCGGCATCAAGAATTGGGGTTTCCACTAATAAAATCAAGTTGACTTTGGGTAAGCTCTAACGAGGGAACTACGGTGCTGGTTGCAAATGATGTTTGAAAGTGAGGTTCAAGGTCAAATCCAAGATCACTCGTCAAAATTTATTTAAGAACTGACCTTGATTGTTATTTTCATCACTAATTCTGTAAGATTCAAAGTGGTTTTCCTAGAAGCACACATTTGACCTCTAGTGGTCACCATGACCTTGGTCTTCAATTCGTATTTGAACGTAAAATTGTCCGCTCTTTCGATTGCTGGCATCAAAGATAGGAATTTCCATTAAAAGAATGAATTTCATAGGATGGAAATGAACACTGCCGCTCCTGAAAAGTTTTGCATTGCGCAGTAGCAACGCAAGTGTTTCCTAAGGGTCGGCTCCAATACTGCACTTTGCCTGTAAGCATTTAAGAGTACCAAACCACGAATTTTGTAATATTACGGCGATATATCATATTGTCCTCTTCTGATTTCGTCTAACTAAACTATCTGTTACTTGCTACTTGACCATCAACTTCAGAACGACATCTAAAAATTTAGCGCTCTGTATAATGCAGAATATGCCTAGATCAGTCCCCACATATGAAACGCATGGAAAGGTATTTGAGAGAAATATTCGACTCGAGACCGTCTATCTAAAGACTGTAATACTGATTAAGATTTGTCAAATATTGTTTTAATTCATTCTGCTCCAAAAGAATGAATTCTAAATTGAAGTATCAGGAAAATATCGTTATTGCCCTAAATTGCATTTTAGAAGGTTAGACATTAAACTTTCATACAGCGTGCTCTAAACTTAGGACAAACATTTTGATTCTCTTCGACCTAGTAGAAAAAAGTAATAAAACACGATATAAAAAACTTGAACGTGATACCACGAATTTAATGAATTTCATAAAAAAAATTAAATCGAGAGGTTCCTTGATAATGGAAACCATTGCGGTCTGATTGGCTAATAAAGTCACACCATATACGGTGATTCAACGTTTGGGTAATGAAACATCTCTTGATTTATCCGGTACAACAAATCAAACGGCGGCTATCTTCAAGAAATTGTGTACCTATCGTATGCCCAAGGAAAACTTATGACGTTCCGAAGTTGACTAGAATTTTGCGTGTTGCATTTATTTTGCATCTGAGTGTGCAGCTTCAGGATAGGATGACAACAGTAACTGTTATACTGAAAAAACTAGGTTCTGACTGAATAGTTTTGAATGCAAATTTCAATTTCAGCATGCTTCTGCCATAACGAAGGTTTAAAAATTACCCTCCCCCAAGGTGTGCTCCAAGGTCACACCAAAGTAACAAAAGAGGGTAATGAGTTTTTAGCTTTTGAGGGAATTCCTTACGCTGAGCCTCCTGTTGGTGAACAAAGGTTTCAGGTATACTTTAAAATATTTCCTTTGCTCATCTGCTTTAACAAAAAAATATGATTTATGATGCAGGGTGGTACAATATAGACCTTATACTCTGACTAGAGGATAGTTGCTGAGCTTTCGTTCATTGTCCTACTTGAGACCAAGCCTAGACTATGCTGAGGAGTTGCCAAATAGCATGAAACAGCTATCCATGGTTTGAGCTATTGTAGGATTTAGTTGAGAAATATTTCATAAGAATGGAAAACTAATCAAAACCATTAACTTTATCTTTCGCGTCTGTTGGTTTACCTCAGCGAGCAAATAGTGTCAACTTTACCTTAGGCCCGTATCGTCAGTCGTCCCTACAATTGTAGGGCACGTTTATGGCCTCCTTGATTGTCATAGTTTTCTACTTCTCCGTGTCAGAGCTCTATTTTGAGGTTATGTCACAAACATCTATTTGCATCAAATTGTGCTTGCTTTTGAGTTATATCATGTTTTATCAGCCTGAAATTTCCTACAATTTAAAAGGAAAACATATCTTAACAATAGGCGAGCGCTGACGCTGACACGGGACGAGTGTAATCTAGAAATGTTTGAAGGAGAGAAAAGAGTATGACAATCAAGGAGGCCGTAAACGCACCCTACAATTGTAGGGACGACTGACGATACGGGCCTTAAAGCTTAGAAATAGTACCAAAAATAAACCATTTGGAATCAAATTCCAATTTACAGCATAGGACAATACTCAGGATAAAAGTATAGAACATCTTTTTTTATACCATAGTAGCCGCGCAGGCAGAAGTCTAAATACCCCCGGCTACCCTAAGGAGTTTAAAGAATGTTTGTTAACCCGATTTTAGAACTACCTGGGGTTAATAGAACTAGGAAAAGCCTCCTCAGGTAGACTGTTGCATAATCTCGATATCAGTACTCCAGGCTAGGCATTGTACAGAGTAAGGAAGTTATGTGGGAAAAAGTACTTCTTAGCCCTAGCTTTTTCCCAGCATCTGCCTCTATTCACGAGATGTGTTCGAGCCAGATCAGGTCCTCGGTGATCTGGATTCCGAGAAGCCGAAGTGGTCGGTTCTTTGGTAGAACGCGGCCATCCATCCAAAGCTCACTCAATACTTTAAATACTACGAGTATAAAAACGTAATATTCAATAAAATTGAAAGATATGAACGGTACGGTAACGACTTTGTAACTCATATTGCAAGCAAAATAATTTCAAGGTGACAAGAGTTGACGAACGAAATGAAACATGGCGATTCCCCGCGCGATAGAGGAGCAGAACATTATGTCCCGACCCGAGTGCTATGCGATTAAAAAACAATCTTCAAGTGTTTCGAGGCGGGATATTCAAGAACTACATAATGAATTTTTCAATTATGTTTTGAATTAACGAATTAGTTAACTAACTTTATTTTAATTTACCGCAGATATAACCTCAATAAATAATAAAGGATCAAAATCAAAAGTTTTAAATAAAAAAATATAGTTAAATCAATCTACATTTTTTAAATTTGCTTGGGTTGTTGCGCGAGACCCCTGCAAAAGCGAGGCCGCGACGATTGCCCTGTTTGCCACCTCCTAAGGCCGCCACTGCCTGCATGTAAGGTGTCGTCATCATCAAAGCTCTGGATCCGATTTATCGTATACAGGAAAGGAAAGGAGGTCGTTGATATGTATGAGGAACAATGTCGGAGCAAAGACTGGTCCCTGAAGACCACCCGCGTTGACATTGTGTGTCAGAGTTTACAAAACAGTCCATTTTTTATTACTGGCGCTCAAAATCGCATATTGACGAAAAGAAAATTATCCATACTTGGTGGTTTCAACGAGATGAGTCCATTAGGGGTGGATCACAAAAATATTTTGGGAGAGGGTCCATATAATGAATTTGAAGTTTTCTTTGGGGGGGGGAAGAGGGTAGGATTTATGTCCAAGAAGATGCCCGCCTCAGGGGGATCGGCGATTGAAATTAAAGAGATGGAAGGGGAGAAACTGCAAATTGAAAAACAAGTTCGAATTTTTTTAATACTTTGTGAGGGGGGACACCTGCTGGATCCGCCAATGCACTACATCATCACTCACTGCGAGGGAGTGGTTATCAAGAGGGCTAAAGGGTTTTTAGAGGACACTATTATTTGGTGGAGAGCCAGTTTACGAGTAAATTAGCCTTTGCTCACTAAATTTAACCGCGCCTGGGTTCTTCCTATGGTGATATTGAAGAATATGCGTATATAAGTGTGTGAAATCGCGCCGAAAGGAATGGAAGAATACGAATACGAGAAGCAGAATGTCGGCGACATTTAATGTTATCATTCAGACCAAATTTTCCATTCCCGTCACACTTTTTACACCAATTTATCGCTTAAATAAAATACTAGAGCTCACTACACATTGCTTTCTCAGGAAGCAAAACCTCCGAAACCATGGAAAGGAATCTGGCAAGCCAAAACACTATACAAATGTATTCAATATGATCATATATTAATACCAGCTGGCCAGGACAGAGTATCAGGTAAATGTAAAACGTAAAGAATGTAAGAAAACAAGTTTTAAGTAGACACGAATTGCAAAAAAAAAACGGATGAGATGAAATTTTAAAAATGGTTTCATTGCATAATGCAACTTCTTGAAGTATGATTGCTAGAGTTGCCTAGAAGAAATGATATAGTTGACGTGTGACATACACTTTTAGGCGATGAAGACTGTCTGTATGTCAACATTTACACTCCAGACGCAAACCCACCGAGAAAGTATGACGTGTTGGTATACATCCACGGAGGTGCATTTGTTTTTGGTAACGGGGGCATGTATGGACCAAGTCGTATTCTGGATAGACCCATCGTTTATGTAAATTTCAACTACAGACTAGGACCCATGGGTTAGTATGTTTGTTAGTCATATTTATGCGATAGTGGCGTATATCTGAGAAGTTGGATCTTTGCGAAACTGCCAATAGAGAAAAAATTCCTGGTGCTTGGATCATGTAATATACTAAGTGACATATAAATCCGAACATCCAGTTTAAATGGTTTTATTTTACTAAAATTTTGTATAAGTACTTAGTGAAGCATAATAAGTAAATGATAAAAATTTCAAAATGATTGCACTGCTTTAAAGCACTTTGACCTTTAATAATGTGTGGATGCACCCTGATGTGCTACGCATTCACCAACGCGCCTAGGCATGCTTCTGATCAGGTGGTCAATATCCTCCTGTGGTATCTCATTCCAGGCAACCACCAACTCCTCTCGAAGTGCTTCTAGAGTCTGAGGAAGACGTTGCAAATTGAGCAATCTCCTACCCATCATATCCCACACGTGCTCAATTGGGGATAAGTCGGGAGATATTGGTGGCCATGGTAACAATGTGACATCATTATGTTGAAAGAAGTCTATTGTGACTCTTGCAACATGTGGTCGGGCATTATCTTGTTGGAAAGTTGGATCTGCCAGGGTGTCAAGATAGGGTAAAAGATGGGGTTCTAGAACTTCGTGGATATAACGCTGCGCGTTCATGTTACCTCTGATGAAGATTAAAGGTGACCTGGAACCATAAGCTATAGCACCCCAAACCATAACTCCAACAGTGTGATGAACATGTCTTTCAACAAAAAACTGTGGATCCCTCCTTTCACCACGTCGCTTTCTAACCCTGGCACGACCATCGTGCATGCCTAAACAAAATCGAGACTCGTCACTAAAGACAATACTGTTCCATTCCTGATCCCAGAGTGACCGTTGTCTGCACCACTCAAGGCGATTACGTCGGTGTTCTCGAGTTAAAGGGAGGACCCAGTGTGGCCGGTATGAAAACAAGCCAAAACTTCTCATTCGTCGGTAAACACTTCGCATGCCAATAGGTCTTCCGTGTTCTGCAAACCATTCATTTGCAATGGACCTGGTAGTGGAGAAACGGTCCCTTAAGGCCAATAATCTTAGGCGACGGTCTTCACGGTCTGTTGTTCTACGGCGGCGTCCAGTGCCCCTTGCTCTTTGCGTACGGCCTTCTCGAAGCCATGCCTGACAACACCTAACGACAGTGTCTACACTTCTTTGCACTCTAACTGCAATTGCCCGAAAAGAAAGTCCAGCTTCCCGAAGTCCCACTATACGGCCCCTATCAAACTCACTAAGTTGACGAAATCGTACAAGTCTCCGTACTCTAGGCATCGTAACCGATCGTAAAGGATGTCAAGAACCAAAATCCGCCAACGTTGATTCTTTACTGCGGCTGAAATATTCATTTTTAGAGCGTTAGTGAATTAAAAAAAAGCAGTATAAAAACCGGAATGTCCAACTGATAAGGCTGAAAATTTTTTCACTTGTTATTTACAGTAAGATAAATACATTCACCAACTTTTATTAAAATAAAACCATTTAAACTGGGTGTTCGGATTTATATGTCACTTAGTATATGTGTTAGGTATTGGATTTTAGTAGTTCTATGAGAGAAAGCACAATCCAGGGATTTGATTTATGTTATAGGATTTTTGAGTACTGAAGATGATATACTGCCAGGGAATTTGGGATTGAAAGATCAACAGATGGCATTAAAGTGGATAAAGGAGAATATCCACCACTTTGGGGGGAACCCGGATTCTATAACGATCATGGGAACATCAGCAGGGGGTGCCAGTGTGGAACTTCACTACATAATGCCCAAATCAAAAGGTAAGTTGGTGCCGATCTTATTCACTTTTTATTAAGATGTCAAAAAGATTATACGAATCAAAATTTCAGGTTTATTCAACAGAGGCATATCCCAAAGCGGTTGTAGCCTATACTCTTGGGTGTTGGTGGAGAAGCCTCTGGAAAAAACTAAGAAGATAGCTGAGCTTGTTGGGTGTGATACACGTGACAACAAGGATATGGTTGAATGCCTGAAGTCGAAACCAGCTAGGCAGATTGCCTATACAGTTGGAAAGTTACAGGTGATATATTATGTGTATTTAGTACGTAGCCTTTAGCGACAGGGATAAAGAAAACAGAACACCCAGTGAAAACAATTGATTTAAATGGAATTAGACTTTAGTAAGAGGAAGTCGTGATTCATTTTTGAAGTTGAAACAATTACTGTATCGTTAGACTTACCTAATAATGTGTTGGGTCACCTTGATACCGAGTACACTCCTGTCGTCGGAGCATATTCTTGAGGAGGTGATTTATGTTTTCTGGAGCTATTTCATTCCAAGCTAGCTGTACTTGTTTCTGCAAGTGTGCGTGGAGGATGCGGTAAAGGGATAACTCTGGTCTCTAGATCTAGGAGGTCAAGGAACGAAGGTGATCTGAGCGTTACTGAGGCAGTCCATTGTTGCTCTAACAATATAAGGACGAGCATTATCTTGTTGTGAAATAGGGCTAACAAGTGCTGTGAGGAATAGCAGCTGAGGTTCCAGTATTTTCTAGATATGCCGTTGTGCCGAAATATAGCTTCTCATGGAGGCTGCATATGACCTAGCATCATTTGTAATGGCGCCCCAAACCAAAACTGCTTAAGCATGATGCACGTGATATTTAACTGAAAACTTACATCACGTCTTTGTCTGCGGTGTCTTCTAATACGTGCTTGTCCATTGTGCATTCCTCAAGAAGACATAAGTCAGAGCTTTATTAAGAAATCATAACGTATTCACAACTTTCTCTTACCTATGTGTAAATGTTTATAACATTTTATTCAAATGAAGCCATTTTTACTGAGCGTTTTTCCCACTGAATATATTTAATATTTTGCTTCCGACACAAAAAATAGATGCTACATATTTCTTATTTTCAGCCATGGAAGTATAATCCGTATACTCCTGTAGGCCCAGTTGTCGACAAGTGGGCGAAAGATCCAGTTTTACCCGACCACCCGTATACGTTACTGAAAAAAGGAAAAGTTCAGGACTTACCTTGGATGATCTCGTTTACAGCAGATGAGGGGCTATACCCAGGCGCAGGTACATACGCAATCATGAAATTTATGAAAGTTCAAAATAAGCAAGAAAAAAAGAAGGAAAAATATAAGACTTTTCATTTTGCAGAGTTTTACAACGATGAGGATCTGGAACATTTGGATAAAAACTGGAATGAGCTTATGCCTCACATTTTGCACTACGAAGATGTTGTGGATTCAAAAGCTTCCATTGCAGTAGGAGATATGATAAGAAAAGAGTATTTAGGAAATGAAAGGCTAACCAAGAAGACATTCAAGAAATTGATAAAGGTAAGCAAGATTTATGAACCTGAACAGGGGACTTAACAAACTAGATAAAAAGCCAAGGCATAAGATAGAGTGATACTGCCATAATGATAATGATAGGAAGCAGTAGTTATGTTGTATCTGACATCCGAAAGAAAACTTTGGCTCTCTGGTCGGTGATCACTTTTTTGTTGTAGGCGATTGGAGATCGACTTTTCGTGGCAGATTTAGAAAAGGCTGCACGACTTCATGCGGTAGCGGTGAAATCTCCAGTGTATCACTACCATTTTGCATACGAAGGAAGTTTAAGTGCCTCATTAGTGTTAGCCAACACGACAGAATATTTGGGTAATACTATATTTGTATTACTTGATATAGTATTTTTCAAAAATTGTTGAGTATATATGTCTCCTAAAGATAACAGGTCTGCAGTTTTGCAACTGATCGATGGTTGTAATAAATAAACAAATTGACTATTTCAGACTAGATGGTTGAAAGCAAATATGTACTAGAACTACTTTCCACTATTTTTTATAAAGTTTTATATTTTGGTTTTTATTTTAGGCGTGTCACACGGTGACGATGTGATGTATATTCTACCGGTATTCGTTATCGAAGTAAATGAAAAAGACCGACGTATGGCTGATACTCTGATTGATATCGTCGTGTCGTTTATGAAAAATGGGTAAGATTTTCTAAAGTCTTTTTAATAGTGTTTCATTGATTTATATTCACAGGAAACCGGATAGAATAAAAACCTGGACGCCATTAGACAAGGACGTTACAAGTCCCTTAAACCAGTTGAAGATTTCCGGACCAGACGATATGAGGATGGTCCAAGTAGATTCGATTGGAAACAGTGAATTTTGGAATAGTTTGCCGTTCAAGGAAAATGAAAAAATTTTGACATATGATAAAGACGAACTATAAGTAACTCAAGACTTCCAAATCTCAAATCAGCAACATATATACATTTAAATATAAAATCACTCTTTTTTTTTCATACTCCAACTACCACGAAGGCCTAAACACACATGGGCTACCATGGGGCTATAGGGGGATACAGGCGAGGGGGGACGCCACACTGACTCTATGACTACCACTGCGGCCACCGCTGCTGCCTAAACTGCTGTCGAATTTTAGCGTTTTTGTACATTGAATCGCTCTTAACTCAACACGTATTCATCAAAACCTATAGTACCTTATCCCAAACTCCTTCTTTTGGAAAAGCCTATCTGAATGCGCAATAAAATATTGTAATTAAAAAAACGAATAATTTTTTTTAAATGATTGTTTCATATTTAATGACATATTCGGATAGACCTTTTGGTGATTATTAAGCGACTCAATGAAAATATTGTATCCATACAAAATATAAGTACAGCACTGTATATGATTTGTGAAGTGAAATCGGTAAAGTGTTTGTCTTTTATTTTCTTCTTGCTACTGCTTATTCAATTATAATATTGACTTATGTAAGCACGTTTTGTGTAATAACATCAATAAATCATTATTATTTTTGGTACTGTCGCCAGGCCATAACCTGGAGCGAGTGGGTCATATGAACTGCCCGTTTCCCGGAACTATCTTGGTAGAGATATATAAGTTGGGGGCTGTCTTTTCTTCTTTGTTCAGTTCATTCCTCGATTTTTTTGCCATACAACTCCCCTCCCACATATACGAGTACATGGGGTTTAGGAGTTCAGGCTCTCTGTGGTGCTCAGCGTGCGATGTCTTGCTGCTTTTTTGCTGTCGAGGACGGTACGTACAAAAGTAGCCACGGCATTCCAGTTTGCTTGGGAGCGGAGCATCAGCTGGACGATGCTGTCCGGGCGTACATCGACCTCCAGCCGGTTCTGGCAGTTGTTATATGTTGTGTTCCACCTCTCGCATTCAAAAAAACGTGGAATGCGTCATCCGGAAAGCCACAGTGCAGACCCAGGGTCTTCTGTCAAATGAAAACGATGGAAATAGGCTCAAAACATCCGTGCCCTGAGAGAAACTGCGTGAGATAGAAGTCGACTTCCCCCCCACTCTCTGGTCACCCACGACCCTTCTCAGCTGTGTCCCAAGCTTCTTGCCATCGTTGGAGTAGCAGTTTCCTAGCTTCAGCTCTTGCCATTCCGTCTAGCCTATCCGGTCGTTCTAATATTTGCAGTTGTATGGGTGAAAATCTTCAATTACTGCGACGGCTACAGTGGAGACTGTGCGATATGCGCTGTACTCGTAATGCAATTTGCCTTCCAACTGCTTCAAGTTTCTGCTGTAGCTTGGCGAGATTGAATGCTGTGGGTCATATTGGTACTGCATAGAGGAGGGCTGATAGCGCCGCCGCGCAAAGAACCTTCCTTTTGCTGGCCTACAGTTTGGCATGAGTTTTGCCAACGCCATCACAGTTTTGAACGCCCTTTGTCTACATGTTCTGTAAAAGTAACCTTGGTATCAAGCCAGACTTTGAGGTACTTCACAGTTCCGGAAGTTGTTGTATCCAGTATACAACTTCTTCCCGTCCAAGTGATTGTGCACGCGTTAAGGAATACCTCAGTACCGATTGCCGGGTGGCGGTACAAGTCCGCCAACGGGCCACTTTAGGTCTATTTAACATCACTAACACGTAAAAAGAAGGTGGTAGACAAGGACCAGTCGACCGAGGCAGTACCACCAGCTAGCTTTAGGGTGTCTTATAAATGTCCGCATGTTTCCACACCTAAGCTATGCAGTCCTTTATCTACCAAAACAAAGAAATTAATGATGATGAATCCCTCGAGCACTAAGAACTCCGGACGTAAACTCACTCCACTCTCAGAATGTCCGGGTGGAGGGTGGGCTCGAGGGAACAACATCGAAGATAAAATTTGATTTTCGAACATCTGCGGGATCAACAGCAACATTGACGCTGTTCATCACTACCTGCAATCCAATCGTCCCGCCGTGCTGTTCTTGGCGGAGACAAAAATCTCAGAGACTGCACCGATTAACCATCTCAACTTCCCAAACTACGAGGTGCACTCCAATCTGAGAAAGAACGGGGGAGTTGTGGCTTTTGTCCGCAGTAGTCTTTCCTGCTCCAGGGATCTTTCTTTGGAATCAGACCGGAAGGACATTTTGTGGCTTCGCCTCAACTCCAAAACATCACACAAATTTATTTGCTGCCTTTATCGCTCTCCCTCGAACCATAACTGGGATGACCTACTCGAATACCTCGCCGTCCAGATCGACTTCCTGAACATCAATCACCCCGCTTCAGAGGTAGTTCTTCTCGGTGATTTCAATGCCCATAATGAGTTTTGGTTGGGCTCAAATAAGACCGATGCAGCAGGTCGTGCAGTCGAAGCGTTCGCTCTTACTCAAGGGCTGACCCAGCTGGTGACGAGCCCTACTTTTTTCCCCCGCGTCTCGTCACACGCCAGTAGCCTGCTGGATCTCTTTCTGACCACGCATCCTGCCCCTTACAGCACTGCTGTCCTGTCCCCCCTGGGTAACTCAGATCACGGTGTTGTGGAGGTTAGGTTTCGGTCAGAAGCCGCTGTGGCAGCAGAAACTCGCACAGGCCGCAAAACTTGGCATTACGGACATGCCGACTGGGAGGGGCTCAGCTTTCCTTGGAGAGATGTCTGTTTCACTGACGGGGATGCGTCGACTGTCTGTTCTTCAATAACCGAAATTATCCACCTGATCTGGCACGAACACATCTCTTCAATAGCTGCAGCTGCTGGGAAAAAGCTAGGCTATTTGTTTAGGGCTAAGAAGTACTTTTCTCTGCATGACCTTCTCACTCTATAGAAGGCCTAGCCTCGAGTATTGCTCACACATTTGGGGTGCTGCCGCCCCGACTACCTTGTCCATGCTCGGTGCTGTCCAGAGGAGGGCGGTCCGACTGATCGATGACTCTTCTCTAACAGACAGTCTCGGGACTCTTTCGCACCGGCGGGTCGTCGGCGATCTAGTTCTTTTCTATCGCTACACCAACGGGCTTTGCTCCTCAGAGCTCTCTTCCATGATGCCGCCGCGCGATGTGCCTGCCAGACAGACCCGCCTGACTTCGGCGTCCCATCCTAACCGTGTCAAGCTTCGTACATCCAGAACTGGCCGATACTACCGCTCCTTTGTCCCGAGGGTGTCTAGATTGTGGAACAATCTACGGGAGGAAGCTTTTCCCAGTTCTACTAACCTTAGGCAGTTCAAAAAGGCTTCTGCCTGCGCGGCTGTTTCGATATAAAAAAAAAACGTCGGAATTGAGGAATACATCCCTCACACAGTGAAAGTTCCTAAACCAGGGTCCAACGGCTGGTTAAACAAATCGTGTGACACTGCTCGCCAGCAGAAGATCAAGGCCCACAGAACCTACTTACAAAACCCCACTGTAGAGAACAGACAATCCGACGTCGAGTCCCGAAACAAATATAACGAAGCGGTTCGCAATGCCAAAAACCAGCATGATATAAAAGTTAGGCACAGGGTAATGTTGCAGCGCAATGGCAGTCGGTCTTTCTGGACGCTGGCCAAGTAGATTGAAAAGAACTTCTCACACAGTAGCCTTCCACCACTTACGTGTCAGGATGGAACTATTGTATTCGACTCAAAGGCCAAAGCGGAAGTGCTAGCCAAGATCCTTGCTGCCAACTCCACCATGGACGTCCCCACCAACGCCCAAGTGCCGACAATTCAAAGGGTTCCCCACACTATGCGGGAGGTAACATTCAGGCATAAGACCGTAAGACGAGTGCTCTTGTCGCTCAACATCAACAAAGCTTCTGGTCCGGACCTGATTCCTGCCATTGTACTGAAGAGATGTGCAGCGGAGCTTGCTCCAGTTCTTTCGCGTCTCTTCCAGATATCTTATGAATCTGGCACCTTCCCAGAAAACTGGAAATTTGCTCATGTACAGCCCATCCCAAAAAAGGATCTAAGACCGACCCTTACAACTACAGGCCTATAGCTCTGCTTTCTGTTATAAGTAAAGTGATGGAGAGGTGCATAAATCGCGAGCTTCTGGACTACCTCGAACGTCACAGCTTGATTAGCGACAGGCAGTACGGTTTCCGGCACCAACGATCCACAGGGGATCTCCTAGCTTACGTCACGCAACTGTGGAGTACACTCATCCAGTCTGGTGGTGAGGCTCATCTCGTTGCTCTTGACATCACGAAAGCGTTCGATCAGCTGTGGCACGCTGCCCTCTTAAACAAACTTCCATCCTACGGCCTCCCAGAAAAGCTTTGCAGATGGGTGGCTGACTTTATCTCTGGCCGCAAGATATCCGTCGTAATTGACGGATTCTCCTCTTCATCCCACAACGTCAACGCGGGTGTTCCCCAGGGATCGGTCTTGGCTCCAACACTGTTTCTCTTACATATCAACGACCTCCTTTCCTGCACGATCAACCCAATCCACAGCTTCGCTGATGACAGCACTCTACATGCAGGAATTCAGAGTGACAAGCCGATCTCTGCCGCTGAGCTGGAAAAAAGAAGACTAGCGACGACTTCTTCTCTGACAAGAGACCTGGAGGCTATCACTGCTTGGGGGCGCAACAATCTTGTACAGCTCAATGCTTCCAAAACACAGTACTGTACTTTGACGAACAAAAAGCGTCCTAGCGCTCATACAGTTTCGATGGACGGTCGAGTTCTACCAAAGAGCCATTCATTTCGGCTGGTCGGAGTTCAGATCACCGAGGACCTGATCTGGCACGAACACATCTCTTCAATAGCTGCAGCTGCTGGGAAAAAGCTAGGCTATCTGTTTAGGGCTAAGAAGTACTTTTCTCCGCATGACCTTCTCACTCTATACAAGGCCCAGATAAGGCCTAGCCTCGAGTATTGCTCACACATTTGGAGTGCTGCCGCCCCGACTAAATTGTCCATGCTCGATGCTGTCCAGAGGAGGGCGGTCCGACTGATCGATGACTCTTCTCTAACAGACAGTCTCGGGACTCTTTCGCACCGGCGGGTCGTCGGCGATCTAGCTCTTTTCTATCGCTACACCAACGGGCTTTGCTCCTCAGAGCTCTCTTCCATGCTGCCGCCGCGCGATGTGCCTGCCAGACAGACCCGCCTGACTTCGACGTCCCATCCTAACCGTGTCAAACTTCGTACATCCAGAACTGGCCGATACGACCGCTCCTTTGTCCCGAGGGTGTCTAGATTGTGGAACAATCTACGGGCGGACGCTTTTCCCAGTTCTACCAACCTGCATAGAGGAGGGATGATAGCGCCGCCGCGCAAAGAACCTTCCTTTTGCTGGCCTACAGTTTGGCATGAGTTTTGCCAACGCCATCACAGTTTTGGACGCCCTTTGTCTATATGTTCTGTAAAAGTAACCTTGGTATCAAGCCAGACTTCGAGGTACTTCACAGATTGGTCCGTCTTACAACAACCTGCACCGTAAAGGTAATAGCAGACATCTTTTTCTTGGGTGTCAGCATAACTGCCTCCGTTTTCTCCGGTGCAATTTGCAACGCGTGGTCTGCCAGCCAGTCGATTACCTCTTCGATAGCGCAGTTTGCCTTGCTACTATACCACCACTATTGCCAAATCGTCCCCATAGGCTACTGTAGAAATCTCGCCTGGCATTTGTAACCGTAGAACTCATCGTACAGCAGATTCCATAGGGTAGGTCCCAAAATGGATCCCTGCGGAACGCCGCTGTATAATGGTTTCTCAGCAATACCATTTTCCGTATCACGAAGCACAACCTTTCCCAAATCAAAAAATTCCTAGACGTGTTGCAGCGTTAAAAGCATTCCTTATGTCTATAGTGATCATCGAGCATAATTGTAATTTGAGGTTGATCACTACTTCCGCGCTCTTTGCATATCACGTGGTTGATAGCATCAAGGGTTGATTTATCCCGTCTGAAACCATACTGTCTTGTCGATATTGTCTCTTTTACTTCATCTAGTAGGCGTTCGAGGATCATATATTCTAGTAGCTTTCCAGCTGCGTCAAATAATGAAATCGGACGGAAATCCGCTGCCACCATTACAGGTGTATGCCTCTTCGGTAACAGGATCAGTTCAGCACGTTTCCAAATTGCGGGGAAGCTGACAGTCGTGATAGCATTGTTCATCACCTTGAGCATAGTTTCTGGGAATTGCCTTGTCGGGAGTTTCACTCTCTATGTTGTAAGGACCTGGTGCCTTGTTGGGCCTCAGTTCACTATTATTATTAAATAGCTACTTATTGTTAGTGGTAATAGAAAAATGGTGTCATGTATGTTGACTCTGCACCTCCATCGCAACGCTGTTCCCAGTTAATAAACGATCATGTTAGGAACATGTATAAAAAAATATAAAAAATTATTAAGTCGAAAAGCTTTATTAATATTACTTTATAAAACGGTTAATGGTGAACATAGAAAAAAATGAATCGAATGTGATTATAATACGATCCACATAATGTCGGAAATAAAATTCTAACGTGCGAACTGAATGAGATTACATGGGCCTGCCCATTCCTCGTCCAGCAGGTGGTCCCTCCTGCGAGGACTTCTGATTTTTAATAGTTTCATCCACAGACAGGATCAAACACGTTGCTTCAGTTGCTGCTGACAAGGCGTTCACTTTAACTACCGCTGGTTCCCATACACATGCGTCGAAGTTGTCAGCTGAAATAAATTCCGTTTTTATAAATAAATTCCGTTTTTATGGAATTCGTATTATTCCTGCTTTACCGCTATTACACAAACACAGATGTGAGTTATCTAGTCCTTGTCAAAAGTCTCATATGAGTAGGAGGCGCAAAGGAGTATTCACGGTGTTCCATTTTGAAAAATGCAACGTTCTAGAAAAAAAAGTTTCAAACAAAAGTTGTAAGGTTGTGACATTGTCTTCGATCTCCAAGTCAAGTAAATATGTTTTCGGTATTGAAAAAATAGTCAATTTTACGTTCGAACATATTCCTGGTCATGACCTTGACCATTGTCTTCAAGACCATTTCAAGGTCTAATCAAGACGTTGTAAACAATTTGCTCAGTTGCGAGATTTGTGGAGATCACCTAAACGTAACCTTGAGCAATATCCAAACGAAACCTCTCATTTTTATAATGGAAATGGAAAAAGTAGTGAATTTCACGTCCGAAAGTCAAGATCGTGATCGTGTTATTTAAGGTCAAAGACCCATTGGGACGTAAATTTTCCCGCTTTTTCCATTTCCGGTATAAAAATGAGAGGTTTCATTTTTTCTAGTATGCAAAGTCTTCAGAATATTTAGGTGGGGAGAATAAAATGGGACACCGTGTATAGTGACAGAAAACACAACGGTACAGGTATTACGTATCTTAAAAAGTGACATTTCGTCGGTTTTTTTTTTACATTTCGTAGGTTCTTTTGACATTTCGTAGGTCTTTATTGACGTTTCGTAGGTTTTTCTACAAGATGTTAATTGGTGTGAACTCGTTTTGTAGCTGTACGTATTGCTTAAACATCAGCTAACAGTGATCATAGCAAGCAAACGTAGAATGAACTATTTGCACACTAAAAACTACCTAGTCTACAAGATGACATTTAGTCGTTTGAAGTTTTTTATATAAAGCCGTGCGGCAGGAGTATTATGTAAAAAAACTAAAAAAAGGTCATCTTGCAGACTAGGTAGTTTTTAGTGTGCAAATAGTTCATTCCACGCTTGCACGGTGTGTTAGCTGTGAGTGCCAACAAAAGCGTCCATCTATGGAGGGATGACCCAATGACACGACATGCAGTGTTGGTTGCAGAAAGCCGAGTAGTATGTAGTGTTTATCTTTGAGAAGATGTGAGAGAAAGAAAGTTTGTTGAGTAGCAAGATCGCATTTGGATGATTATGTCTATTGGTTCGCATGTGTATAAAATCAGTGATATTTGCTATGTGAGAAAATTATTGGTGAATATGCTGCCAATGAAGTATATCTATTAGCTGTGCCCGACGGGTTATTTATGTGTTGTCTTTTCTCGGGCCAATAATGTAATAACTTTTTTACGTTTCATAAATATTCCTGTCTGCAGCATAATTTCTCACCTGTTACTTGTAATATACTTCACAAACCAGGGATTTTCTTTTCTTATCTCATTCATTTTTGAAGGTCTGCAAATTTGCATATGTAATTTCCAGAATGAATAAGAAAAAGTGGATGCGCAACTAATTTCTAGCTTTGAATACATGAAGTGTATTTGAGACAAGAAACCAATGGAATTATCATCAACACAGATTATTAGCACACACATCCTCACTATGGTACACATTGCCATTTCCTTCCAGCTATAGTATACCACTTACAGCTTAGACCTCCAATAATGCCATCTCTTAAGCAGATGTTACATCACATCAGAGCTAAACATTGATAATTGAAGCATCATGACGTTTAGGCAACATGTACATCTACAAAACGAGTTCACAACGAGTGTTCAACAGCTAAGTTGAAATCCTGCCGAAAAACCTACGTTACGTCACGAAAAACTTACTAAGTGTCAAAAAAACCCAACAAAATGTCATTTTTCAAGATACATAATACCCGTGCCGATCCTAAAAGTCAGAAAGTATTATTACACTTCACGATAACAAGAACTAAATTTCCATTATATTATTCAAAATTGATCCATGACTGACACGCAATGCTATGACAAAGTAATGTGCATTCTTTGAAAAGATCTGAAATAAGATGAAATGTAATACTTTTTAATATCAGTTGTATTACATAAAGTTGATCTGCGACTTAGGGTTTTCTATATCAAAACATTTATATTGCTACTTTCTCTTCTCGCACCAAGCCTTTGACATGACCTAGAACGATCAGATGTAACAAATAATTTTGTTTGTTTGTTTTAGCATTAATACATAAAATTTGTATAATTAATTTCACATTTTGTTTAATCCATTTTTTTGCAATTTTACATTATTGTCTATTAAAATAACTATGTATGTATTCGTAAAGTGATTTTTTAATTTCACTTTAAACGTTTTCAAATTCGGACACTGTTTAATATCATTATTCAATTTATTAAATTCAAATACTCCCTTTTGAAATACAGATTTGCTAGTTATGCTACTATTACAATTTTGCAGATGAAGAAAATTGCCTCTAGTTTCATAATTATGATAATGACTATTTAATTTTCTGAAGTTTTCTAAATGTGGTGGTAATAAATGATTTTTTAATTTGAAATGAGAACTAAATAACATACAGTTACCTTTTTATTATAAGATATTCATACTTCCCTGCTTGACAACATGTCCAGTTTTAAATGATCTGATTTATCCCACATCACATTCCCATTTGTATCTTCTAATATATAAAACATATTTTTTATAGCTTTGTCACTTACCGATATCTTCATTGTTGATATCAACTCCATACCACACACTGCCCTTGGCATGCCTCTGCCTCAATTTGTTGAGGATATTAGTGGCGTCAAATCCAGCGTTGTCGCACAACTGCCTCGGGATTATTTCCAAAGCCTTGGCTATAGCAACGATAAGCAGTTGTTCCTTGCCTGCAATCGTTCGAGCATGATCGCGCAACGTTTTTGACAGTTCCATTTCGATGGCACCGCCTCCTGCCACGACTGCGTCATTCTTTATCGTTCTACGCACCTATAACAAAATAGGTTAACTCTGAATATCCCCATAACGGCAAAAGAGCCCTACTTAATTGGGACGCCATGTCTACGTTCAAATGATTCTGTTGAAAATATATGACAGCTAACTAGAGATGACGATACCAACATTTCAGTCGTATTTTCTGCACATAATCAACTGTGAAGGCCTTGGCCGCAACACGTATATGTAAAACATAATGCATATTGGAGAAATCAGGTTGAAACCGTTTTCAAAAAACAACTTTCAAGCAACCATTTGCTTTTGAACATCTCCATAGAGAATGCGCTTACATCTAGTGCCCGACTGAACTTTCCGTTTAGGACCTAAATCAGAAAATCCGCCGAAACTGCAACCGAAATAGAAACTACGATCGTATGTTTTGGGGCGCATTCAGGCAAAGGTCAAATTTGCTAGAGAAAAATGTTACAAAATTGTTATTCATGACATATAATATCAGACTGTTTAATTATGTTTATTAGAGTATGTTCTAATGGCCTGTTGCACCAACATTTAATTTAAGTTTTGTACGCCTACGAAATCTAGGGACTTTTTGATGTAACTAAGATGATAGACAACTCAGAAATCATTGGTTAATTCAAGTTCAAGCTGCTTCAGGCAGAATATTTTGTGAACCTAAATACCTGCATATGGAACTGGATCATGTTAACATGGTCTTACAAGCAAACGGCTATCAAATAGAAAAGGTTTCACGACAAAAAAGCAGACCGCGGGCAGGAGACAACCAACCAGCATCGGGAGTCTCCATTCTACCATGCATTAAAGAGATTACGGACAGAATAGGAAGACTGCAGAAACACAACGTCAAGACCATCTACAAGTCGACAAATAAAATCCAGCAACTCTTAACATCGGAAAAGGACCCTTGGGATCCCCTGAGCGGTGCCGGCGTATACAGAATACCGTGTTCCTGTGGTAAAGTATACGCAGGCACCACTAAAGGTAGCTTTCAAACACGGATTATGGAGCACGAAAGAAACTGTCGACTGGAACAAACTGATAAATCAGCGGTGGCCGAACACGCATTCCAAGACGTCCAGAATGTTCTGTTCGACCAAATTGAAGTCTTATCAACCCACTACGTAGCCCGAAAGCACAGAGAAGCAATTGAAATCTACAAACACAGGGATTATTTCAATAGAAAAGAAAAATGCCTTGCTTTAAACAAAACGTGGTTACCAATTCTAAAAATCACAGGACACAAACCACGTAACTCAAAGGACCCAGAGTACCCCCACAAGACAGCTCAGTCATCAGTCCGCCGATCGCCTATAAAACCGCACGCCTATACAGGTGACCGATAAGTTTCAGTCGACCCGCCAAGCCGAGCATTTCGCTCTTGACGACAGCGCCCCTGAAGATGGCTACTGCAGATGTAGCTGAGAGCTCTGGGGAAAATCCAACCCGTCTCCGGCTCAACAGCCCCAAAAACCTAAATGACCATTTACATCGTTAGTTACAACGGCAGTGACACGCATTTAGTAAACAGCTTGACAGATAGGAAAAACGGGGTATTCGGCCCGCATCTTCTCTATTTCATAGAGCCGATCTAGACAATTAGGGCAGTATCGTCAATTTATTGTCGGACGCCTTTATGGCCTTGATATTCATAGTTTTCTACTGTTCCTTGTCAGCGCTCTATTTTGAGGTTATGTCACAAATATCTATTTGCATCAAATTGTTCGTGCTTTTGATTTATATAATCTGTTTTATCAGTCTGAAATATCCTGCAATTCATAAAGAAAACAACTTTACAATGGGATAGCGCTGACACTGATACGGAACAGGTGAAATCTAGAAATACTTCAGCCTTTCTGAAGGAGAGAGAAAAGACTATCACAATCAAGGAGACCATAAAACCATCCTACAATTGTAGGAGCGACTGACGATACGGCCTTTAGTCTACAGCACCAACTTTCAGGATCGACTGTTAGAGGCAAATTCCATCTTACCCACGCCACTGCTCCTTTGTTGCTCCGTATTTTTGTTATATTTTACTTTGTTGTTGTTCACTACTCTTTTTGACAATTATGATTATCAATTGACGAGTTACTTAAGGAATCCTTATTCAATACATATAAATATTTTTCATTAGAATAAAGCCATAGAAAAACGTCATGCTCAGGAGAAAACGTAGCATTTGGCCCATGCATTTTTGTAATGCTGGCTAGGTCTTCCAACTCTATGTGTTGGGTATAGATTTTTCTACTCATCACCTTCCTGATGTCGTGGATTAGACTCTAGACAAACAAGTGCCATGCGCTTTTTGTCATTGTAATGAATCTAATAATCCAGAAAATATTTTTTTAAATAAAGAACCCTATTTTCATACAGGAATAATATTCTCAAATTATCATTACTTTTTTAATATAAACAAGAAAGTAAACCACTTGAAATATATGCATATACATATTTTCGTATATGATCTTTATTGTTTGCAAAAATGTTTATGTCTTCAATATTAAGAATACTAAGCACCAAAATCATTTGACTAATGCCTGTGAAAAATTTAGGAATATTCTTTTTAAATTACACGAAAATTCTAAATAAAAGGTTCATGTTTAAAATTGCATTTTTGCAGGGAAAATTATATCAATTATTTTCCAATAGACCACGTAATTTTCCACACTCTACCGCTCTAAAAAATGAAAAGAAAAATGTTTCTTCTAGGGTTAGATATTTTTTTAAAAACAGTTGTGGTTTGAAATATCAACTACTGAAACTGGGATATAATACACTGAAATAATACTTACAATCATAATAGCATCATGCAAAGACCTCTCAGTCTCTTCTAAAAATTGTTCAGCACCACCTCTCAGGATCATAGTACAAGTTTTAGCATTGGGACAGCCTTTGAAGAAATTGTACCTTTCGCCGCCAATCTGCTTCTCTTCAAAGAGCTCACATTTGCCTAGTACAGAGTCGTTTATTTCATGCACAGTTGTCAAGATAGCACCACCACATGCTTTCAGGGTACGTTTCAGGTCTTCATCTGTTACACGGCCCGCGCAGAACATGTCTCTGTGGAAGCAATATTATATTGTAATGCATTTTTTTTTCTCAAGGTCTCCCTACAGTGGACCACCTCTAAGCGCCCGCATGAATTTTTCTCATTGGCGAAGATAACTTAGCACAACCTGTTGTTAACTCGTTTTGTAGCTGTATGTGTTGCTTAAAAGTCAGCGATTAGCGATCGTAGCAAGCAAACATGGAATGAACTATTTGCACACTAAAAACTACCTAGTCTGCAAGATGACATTTAGTCCTTTTTTGAGGTTTTTTTTATATAATAGCCGTGCGGCAGGAGTATTATGTAAAAAACCTAAAAAAGGTCATCTTGTAGACTAGGTAGTTTTTAGTGTGCAAATAGTTCATTCCACGCTTGCACGGTCGGTTTTTTACGCTTTTTATATAAGGGTAGCAAATTTTTCCAGGTGGTGCGCAGGGCAAATTCTAAAAATCTCCAAATTGTACGCCCATGCCACCGCCTTATTCACCTTCACAATGTACATTGCAGGTCATGAAATCTTCAAACCATATAAAACAGTTTAATAATAATTTTTAGTAATTCACTTCAAGCCACCTTTTGAAGAATTTGAAATCCTACATTTTTATGAATAGACAAAAAATTATATATCTACCTGTCAGCAAAGTATTGGGTGGCTACATCTCCAATAGGCAATTTTGAAAGCACTACATTAGCACCAGACTCATGGATCTTCTGCAGTTTGTTGTACAGGATGTTCCATTCTGCATCAACAATCTTCTGATATTCTTTGACATTATCAACTCTCACTTCAGCATTGTCTCTTTCTGCTTTCAACTCAAGTTCAATGTTTAGGAGCGCGATTTTGGCGTTTTTGTACACCTTAGGTTGCATCTCAAATCCAGCATAGGAGAATGTCTTCTTGAAGGCAACACCTAAATAAATGAAATATGTCAATTCTAATGGAAATATAACTATTTCTATAGTGTAGCCTACTGAATACTTCAAATATGACGAAAGATAAACATGATTAAACTCATCGCTAACCTGCAACCAAGATGGATTCTTCCAAAGCGCCACCCTGTACCTTCTTAATACCAATCATGTTCAAGGGCAGCAGTTCATCCAATAATAGCACAGCATCTACCACCATTTTTGAGAAGAATGCCCTCTGTTGATTGATTAGCTTAGAGCTTAAAGCTGTAGCTGCACATTTTTCTAAAAGAGATCTGAATTCTCCAGCATTGGCTTTATTGATCTTCACTGAGAGTTCACTGATTTTATCGATGCAGATTTGCAGGGATTTTCGAACTGCCTTTATTATAATTCTGGGGTGAACCTGTAGAAAAAGTATTAGCTGAATATTTGTTCTTCAAGGCCACTATGTTTTTGGCATATTCAGAAAGTGAACACACTGGCACATTGAGAATAAGCAACAATAATAATAATAATATTTAATCATAGAAAAAAAAACAAGTATTCATAGACATGTCACTATTGAAAAAAGAAAAGCGCAGTATCGCAGACATAAAAGTACTCTAACTATAATTAACTCAATATAAAAAAAGTCACTAATATGATTTTACAAAGTCAAGCAAAATATCAAGAACATTATTAAATTATCCATTCAATTTAGTCAAGAAGGCCTGCCTGACTCTTGCCAAAGCATAACATTCCTCGAAACTGTAAATACAGGCCCTAGTTAATACAGTTTTCAATTTACATTTAATTCTGCTCAGCTGCAGCGATCTCACCTCATCTGGCAACGCATTGTACAATTTGATTTCTTCACTGGTGGTTCTAACCAATCTGTTTGTTGGAAGTACCAGATTATTGCAATGTCTTGTGTTGTATGAGTGAAAATCTGCACACTTAAAAAAGTCTGAATTGTTTTTTTCTGACATATATTAATTTTTCATAGATAATCAGGCTATACAAAGTTATTATATTCAATGATCTAAAGCAAGTCCTACACGATTCATGTTGCTTTAAACTAGCAATGCACCTTATACCTTATTGCAGATTTCTAAACTTTAAACACTTTTTTAATATGTATATTAGCTGCAGAGCTCCAAACTAGAAGTCCATAACATAGAGTAGAATCAAAAAGAGAATAATAACCTGTAAGTGCAGCTATTTCATCGACGATTTATTTTATTTGCCATATAGCATAAATTGCCCTGTTTAATTTATTACATAAAATATTTACATGGTCATTATACAACAGACTAGTGTCCAACACTACATCCAAAAATTTAGTTTTAGTCGTTTCTCCAACTGTACGGACAGGTTTAGTTTCAAAACAATGAGATTCAGTTTTTACTTCATTCAGAACAAGCTGCTTTGTGACAAACCACGCCTTAGCCCGATCCAGGACGCTCCAAGCATCCGCGCTGCGTCCACGCCCCTTTCTACAGCAATTCCAAATGTTGCATCATCAGCATACAGTATGACCTCTATACCATGGTCGTTTTGAAACCTTGCGGCAAATCATTCACATATATAAGAAAGAGGAGTGGACCCAACACAGAATCCTGAGGCACACCAGTGTCTGCAAGCATAGGTTCACTAGCTCAATTATTACAGCAAACAACCTGGAATCTGTCTGAGAGATAGGATCGCATCAGCTTTAGAGCAGTTCCCCTAACGCCATAAAATTGTAGTTTTTCTAATACAATATTTCTATTCACACAATGGAAAGCGGCAGTCAGATCAGTAAATAGTCCTACTTATTTTTATATTCAAAGGCCTGCCTTATACAATTTACTAAAGTTAGTATGGCATCTGTTGTCGTTTTGTTTTTCCTAAAGCCAAACTGCCTGGGAATAATGATTTTATTTTTATCAAAAATGAAACAAGTTGAACAAAAATAACTATTTCTAATAGCTTCGAAACGACAGGCAGAATAGATATTTGTCTAAAGTTTTGAGGAAGGTTCAGCTCTCCTTTTCTGTAGAGCGGGATTAATTTAGAAGGTTTTAAAAGAGATGGAAATGAACCCTCCACCAAACAAGTGTTTATTACATCTACCAGTGGTGACAGTACTAACTCGGCCAGCTTCTTAAAACTAATCACATTCATTCCAAAAACATCCTCTGTCTTATTTTTTAATTTGTTTATAATAAATCTCAATTCATAAAGATCAACTGGCCTAAAAAACATAGATTTTGGCTGTTCCAGAGCCATATCCATATATAAATGGACACTGAGATTTCCACTTGGCAGATTACCAGTGAGTGTTCCAGCATAGCTTACATAAAATGCATTTAACTCATTAGGAGTAATATCCTCAGGATTTATTTTAATCATGCTTTTCCTACCTGTTGTTAGATTTATTATGTCCCAGACAGTTTTATTATGATTGTCACTTTCCTCCAATCTGGTTAAATTGTAATTTTGTTTTGCTTTTATTAGTATCTTATTATATTCTCTCTTAAAATCTCTATATATTTCTTTGTTTCCTTCTGTAGGATATTTGTATTTAACCTCAAAATAAAATCTTGACCTATCCCTAGCCTCAACCACTTCTCGAGTACTCCAGCTTTTTATCCTGGGATTATTGTTTTGAATATACCTTGTGAAATACATTGTAATATTCAAAAAAAGTATTATGAAATGCTGTATATTTAGATTCGCGGAATCTGCATTATACACATCGTGCCAGGTTTCTTTTGAAAGATAAACAGACAATGAGTTATATTCGGCTTTATTATAGATTCTAAAGAACTTGCCATTTTCTTGGGAAGTGGTTTGAGCATCAATATTTATTTTCAAAGCACAATGATCTGAATATCCCAAGCACTCCACTCCAGCCTTACTGGAGGCACAAATACTAAATATATTATCTAGGCAGTTACCCTTGTCATGTGTGGGTCCATATATACTAGGCAGTCTGATAAGTACCTGAAAATTCTAAGAGATGGCATTAGTATTCACTAATGCGAACCATTTTTGTCGAGCCTGATCCTTCAAATGACACCTGTCAAAACTTCAGCCATTCATGTTTACACATTTACAAGTTACAGCACTGAGAAGCGACTAACCTCAGAGTTTTTTTTAATATGGAAAAATCCGAGTTTCGAGTTTTGATCAAACACTACTATCTACGCAAGAAAACGATATCCGAGACCAAGGCCAAGCTGGATAAGTATTACCCGGACTCTGCACCGTCGATTGGAACGATTCATAAGTGGTTTACGGAGTTTCGTTGTGGCCGTACAAGCACAGTTGATGCTGAACGATCTGGGCGCCCAAAAGAGGTCACTACACCAGAAAACGTCGAAAAAATCCATGATATGATGTTGAATGATCCCAAAGTGAAATTGAGAGAGGTAGCTAATGCTGTAGGCATGTCATTGGAACGCGTAGGCAATATCGTCCATTCAGTTTTGGGCATGAAGAAGCTCTGCGCGCGATGGGTGCCGCGTTTGCTCACAGTGGACCAAAAACGAATTCGTGTGACGACTTCCCAGCAGAATTTGGCATTATTTTCGCGTAAGCCGACCGAGTTTTTGCGACGATTTGTAACCATGGATGAAACCTGGATCCATTACTACACTCCTGAGTCAACGCAACAGGCAAAACAGTGGGTTCCACCGGGCCGAAGTGCTATGCTGATGAAGCCCAAAGGATATAAAAAGCTGCACCTCTCGTATCATATTATTATCATATGACTGTTATTAAAATGTACCTTAAAATCTCCAGCTACTAATACTTAAGTTTGTTTTGGACCCATTTTTAATGCTGAATTCAAGACATTTGTCATTATTTCTAAAATGTGTCAATATTTTTCATTTCATTCGATCTATAAACACTAATAACACTAAATTTAAGTCATGCTGATATTTCACAAATTTGTTCCATAGACATCTATTCAGATGATCCAGTTTCCTGACTTTTATATTAGGATTCACATAAATACAACTTCCGCCATTTTTCAACTTACTTCTACAGTAATAACTAGCTAGCTGCAGACCACCTATTTCTATGCATTGCAGTTGTTCCTCTTTAAGCCAGTTTTCATTTAGACATATTATCGTAATCTTAGGGTTTTGAAGAGGAAACCATAGCAACATTTGTCATTTGCATGAGTACCCAACAGAAAGTATCCTCTTCCATTCTCTTTGCTTCCCTACCCTCAATGAGCTTGTACATTTAGAGGTCCTCTGTTTATAGAATCGCAAGTATACGAGTCCCTTCCCACTTCAGTTGGCCCAACTATTGAAATCTTTTCTTATCAAACACAAATAATAAAAATGTAGCAGGGTGTTATTGGTTTAAAATATTAACAATGAATATTTTGATAACATATATTAGAAAACACCAACTTTATCATTCCCAAATCAAATTTGCAGCATAAAAATAACAGATGTTGCAATTACAGCATATCAACCTATTTTCATTTCAATGCAAAATAAGTCTATAACGCATAGGTGGCTGCGAAAAATAAAAACCATCACAATTGTTTTTATTAATCACAACTGTCAGAATACGTTTAAAATAGTTTTGGATAGTTAAGGTTTTCAAAATGGGTAGAGGAAAGGTTATTAGTGAGAAAATTCGGTTACTGTTAATAAAATTTTTTAATTCTGGGAAATCAAACTCAGAAATTGCAACTTTGTTAGACTTATCGCGGTACAGTGTGAGAAATATTGTTAGAAGATATAACGTCACAGGCTCAGTTAATATTAAGCCACGATATGTGAAAAAAAGTAATATCACAAATGCCGACCGAAGAGCATTAAGAAGAATAATCGTGAAAAACAGGCGTGCCAATTATTTACAATTACGTGCTCTGTGGAGTGACGCTGTTGGAAGGAGAATTTCGAGGTCCACAACTCATAGAGAGGCCCACAAACTGGGATTTAGCACTTGCTAGGTAAGTTTACTTATAAAAAAAGGTGAAGTAAAAACCCTAAAGTTGCACAACTTGTTTATAGGCCAAAGAAAAGCCACTATTAACTGCAAAAGAAAAATCGGCTTAGGTGGGCTGAAGAACATAGACAATGGACACCTCAACAATGGTGTGCAATACAATGGAGTGATGTGGCCCGATTCGAAGTTTATGTTGGTGACAGTCGCAGTAGAGTTATTCGCAAAAAAAATGTAGCATTCCATGTTGACTGTCTGAAGAGAAAATTGAAATTTCCAGCATCCATTATGGTCTGGGGCAGTATGTCATCAAAAGGAGTAGGAAAACTTCATTTTATTGATGGAAATGTGGATACAAACAAATATTTGGCAATTTTAGAAGAATCGCTTCTACCAGTGAAGGAAGAATGTTTGACATCTGGCTAAGATTTTGTGTTTCAGCAAGATGGTGCAGCGTGCCATACCGCAACAAAGGCTATAAAATGTATGGAAGAAAATAATGTACCACTTTTGAAATGGGTTTCTACCAGTCCAGATCTGTCACCTATTGAAACTTTGTGGCACGAGATGAAAAAGGTTCTACGACAACATCCTGGTCGTAAAATCACCGAACTGAGAGAAAAGCCTCAAGAAATATGGGATTGTTTTGCACCACATTTTTTTCCAAAACTTGGTTAACACCATGCCCCAAAGAATTTCAGCCGTAATAAAAAATAAAGGTGATGTTATCCAATGGAAATCTTACAATTGTTGCTTTTTTAACTTCGCGCATTTATTCACACATTGTTTATTTGTTCTATTAGTTGTAGGTCTAAGTGATTTCAAATATGTATTTTTTACGACTAGAGTGTATCGAAAATGTTTTTGTGAAAATAAATTGTTTTAGAAGTAAAAAGTTTCATCATGTTTAGTTTATATAGGCTTTTTTTGGTACAAATCTTGAAGTGGGCCAAATGAAGTGGGAAGGGGCTCGTACATATTTGAAACATAGTAGAATCACTGTTGTTTAAGAAAATATTGAAAAATAAAATAGAATTGGCTCAACCATTTGATAAATGAAGCCACTAAAAACCTATTTAACCCATTTATGCCTGAATTATAATCTTTCAAGAATTTCGATTTAAGGGCTGTTTGGTGAAGTAAAAATAGTCTCTGATGTGATATTCAGTCATTTTATTTGAGAATCTACACGAAAAAATACATTTTTTGGCTGTTAGTTTAATCGAACGTTAGGCATATACCTATACGTAAAAATGAGTTAATTTTCAAGAAAATGTTAACACGCATACTTCTTTTTCTTAATTCTTGGTATGATAAGGAACAAAACAGTCCATATCTAATGCAACGTCGCATTTGTAGCACTTTTTTGGCACCGGCTTGTGACACACGCGACAACGAGTTGGCTTGTCCTGCCGCACTAAGTAATGTTCATTAGTGTTCATGAAACGGGATTCTGCATTTTCCAGACATGATGGTCTTCCACGTTTTCTGGACACCCTGTTAGTTTCCAATAGGGTCATGGCAATCTGTCTCCGGAATGTCAGTTGATCCATTGACCCTCCTTGCAGCCTATGTAAATGCCAGGAATTTTGAATAGACAAATCCAAAAGGTAAAAGATTAGACAGGAATACCATTTTTTTCCTCGGATACTCGTACGATAATAACTAATATTCTCGTCACATCTGTCTACACCTCCCATAAATGCGTTGTATGCTTTTATGCACTGAGGTTGATCAACTGTAATCTTTTTTCTTTTCTGAAGCCTTGACACATGATGAATAGGATGTACTTGTAAATTGTTCGTGGCCACATTTACGATATTATTGTCATTCCACTTGACGATTAGTACTTTATTCTCGGTTGACCCGTAGTCATATGTACCTCTCGTAGTTTTTTTCATGTCAGTTTTTGACTGGACTGTGCATTTCGACATTCTGTTCTCCCGCACTGTCCCCGTACCTCTAATGTTATGCCGCAAAAGTTCCTCCAAAAGTGGCACAGTAGTAAAGAAATTATCGAAAAAAATGTGATACTGGAGAGATAGCATTTGGCGCAATACGGTACTGTAATGCAGCACAACGGATGGCCCTAAGCCAAACAATTTGTACATCGTGGGAATTTGAGTGTTTGATCCCTGATAGGGTTCCAACCACACACAATAGCCAGCGCAGTCTGAAGATGATATTGCACCCATCCATATTTTGAATCCATAACGGATTGGCTTCCCTTTGATGAACTGCTTACAGCCGTGCCTCCCGAAGTAAGGTACCATGGACTCATCAACTGAGTGTGCAGCTCGTACGGGGCAAAAAAGTTGAAAATTTCTATTTATTGCTTCAAAAAGTGACTGAACTTTCGCAAATCTATCTTGTTGAGATAGCTTGGAATTGTCACAACAATGCAAATTTGACATAATAAATTCGAATCTATCTCTTGACATGGCTGAAGAAACAACTTCATTATGGGTGTCTTTGCTATTCTCCCAGAACATACGACGGCGTGGAAGCTGGACATAACCACTCAAAATCAAGATGCCGAAGAACGCTTTCATTTCCGCTTCAGTGATAGTACTGTTCAAGACGTTCTTTTTTGAAGCGTACAAATTGCTATATTTTACAAACATATCGATGACGTTGTTGTCAAAAAACTGAAAAAATAGTTCTGTAGGTGAGAAGTTTGTTTTCACATCGATGTACGTTGGCCATTCAAAAGATCGAGGTTCTAAATCTCTCTTTTCCCATAAGTAATTCTTTTTTATGGCTACTTGCAAGCTACATAGCGGTAAATCATCCTCATCTATTTCATTTCCTATTTCTTCCTCCTTATCTTCTTGAGTAATGCCGAATAATTCAGCTTCTGCCATAAGTTGTGTGCCTGGCAGGTTACCAATGGTCATCAAATCCTCGTCGCCCGAATCTTCATCTGTCAAATCCTGACACGCATTTGTAGGGGGCTGTAAAATAATGTCTATCTCTTGGCTGTTAGGAAGTGTCTCATCATCGTCGTCATCCAGCGTATTCAAAATATCATCCAACGTCAAGCGACTGAAATACAAAATATACCCTTGTGTACCTGTTGTTCGTTTTATCGAACACGCAAATTTACCCCGGCCTGGACAAAACACGTGTTGCTGTACGCCTGCTGTAAAGCAGCAAAAAGCATGTATATATCTTAGAGAATACGTATCTGTCAGCAAAAATCTGAATGATCATTAAAAGTTTGCAAAACTTACCGACAAAGTGTTAAAGATCGAGCATAATCTCTATCTATGTGCGCCATTGCATTAAACTGTATCGTTTTTGCTACAAAATAACTACAACTAACGTAACAACACCTGTTTATATTTGAATGTGCTTTGAACTTCCAAGCGTTAAAGCGACATCTGTGATTAAGAAGCGCAAGGCTCGAATATACGCTCACTTACAGTTACCTGCTCTCTGTTCGATTTTCCGGACAATAGGCATATATGGGTTAACCACAACATTATAGGATACAAAAGTATAATGTTTTTCTTGGGAGGGAAGTTTTCGCACATAGAGAGGAAATGTCCTACAGACAATTGAACAATTGAGTAGCAGTAGGGTGGCAAGTATCTAGCGGGTGCATATCTCCTTGATTGAAGTCTAGCAAGGTAATTTTCACACTCACTTAGGTTTAGCAATATGTACTATTTAAATAAAAAAAAATGGCAGGTTTGGGTGCTCCTTACTGGTAATTGAACTGTTTCATTAATTGGGAATAATTATGCTCATTTTCCTAGCTGACAAATCCAGCTGCAAGGTAATATTGCAGCAGGGTGCAACACAACTTACAATTAACCTTATATTTTAGGTAAATACCTAAAACTTGAAACTTAATATGTGAGAATACTCACCTCTATACCCATTTTGCAATTTTTGTACTTTCAGGTAAATATTCACTTAAAATACCCAATTTTGCAACACTATTGCAGTTTTTGTAACTGATACACCATACAATCAATTTCAAACAAATATGTCCACAACTCAGACAGTCAAACTAAAAAGGTACACTTACCCCTTCCTCCACAAAAGGCTTCAACTGTTTCAGAAACTCTCCTGCCAACAAAACGACACTAGTAGTTCCATCCCCAACCTCTGCATCCTGTGACTTAGCAATATCCACCAGTGTCTTTGCAGCTGGGTGAACAATATCCAGCAACTTCATAATGGTCGCCCCATCGTTTGAAATCGTCGCATTGCCTTGTCCGGCTACGATCAACTTATCCATGCCTCGAGGCCCCAAAGTGGTTCTTACAGCATCCACTACATTCTGGCAGGCGTTTATGTTGGATATAAGTTGAGGTTTACCTTGCGAGGTATCTGTTCCTTCTTTCAAAAGTAAGATCTGCGGTTGCTATTGGGAAAAAAATGGGAAGGTGTAGTCAGGTGCAGATATAGGTAGCCCGGTATTAGAAAATCGCGAATAATACGTAGAATGGTGAGCAGCTGATGTACTTACCATCATTTTGAGGGTATTTGTTGGGTCTTCTAGTTGCAGAATTAAAATATCGCTCCCACTAAATAAACACAAGCTGATTTTAGAAGAACGTGCTTTTTCTAGATTACCTTTTTGGTTTTCGTCGTACGGTATGGAACAATGTTCAACAACAGTCAAATTTGAAGTGACGGTTTCAAGACAGCTTCTGATAATTAGTCTGTGGCAAGTGCCATCTCCGGGTTGCGTTCTTAAGTAGCTACCATAATAATTCTAAGCAATATGAAGAACGTGTTTTGTGTTCACTGTTAGGAGGTAGCTGAACAGGTAATGTGAAATGCGACCGTTAGATAGAGCAAGCATCCATATTTCAGGATTTTTATATTGAATACATAAATGCCTTGGATACCGCAGGGGCATTATCTAAAAAATCTAAATATGTCGTTGCAGACTAGGCCTTGCTAGGTAGTTTTTAGTGTGCAAGTTCATTCCACGTTGGCTTGCTATGATCGCTGTTCGCTGATGTTTAACTGTGGTTTAAGGTTCCACGTCCGTTTTTAACACGCTTTTTTATAAGCTTGGCCTGTATGTATACAGCGTGTTCTTTAATGATATGCGAATATTTAAGCATGTGAATCTACATGAAAAATTATTGTTAGTTTGCTCTATAAACTATGGTCCAAAAATGTTTCCTTACAAAAACTTGGGGTGTTGAAGTTTTAGGAAAAAAATGGAAATTAATTAATATTTTCAGAGCCGCTTCAGATATAGCACTATTTGATACGTAGTGAAAACCAATAAAGTTGCATATTTTTCAATGCAAACATAATTTTTAGCTTTAAGAGTGGCGTGCGTACGGGTATTGACTTCGATATTTTTTAAGAATGGTTTATTGCCATATAAAAACTATTTTTGAATTTCCCGTTCAATTCAAAAAACAAATGATGAATTTATTTCCTTCGATGCGCCATTTTTGAGTAAAAAAATAAAATCCGTTCTATTGTCTAACTTGCAAAATTATTAGATATTAATTTAATTGGAAAAATTAAACGGGGTAATGAACAACTGACAACATACACATAACATTAAAACCAACGAAATGATTACAAAAATTGTTGAAAATGCCCCCGTTCACTTAGCATGCATGCTTCCGCTCTCCTTCTCATGGAATTGCGCACTCGTTGAAATATTCCTGGAGTGTTTTTGATTCTATCACAAGCTGCATCTATTTTTTCTCTTAATTCCTCTTTAGTTTTAATGGGACTTGTGTACACTAGTGTCTTAAGATAGCCCCACAAAAAGAATTTTAAACTGTTGAGGTCTGGGGACCTTGGTTACCATTCTTGGAGCCCACCGCGGCCAAACCAACGATTTGGATAAACAGTTTGTAAATAATCACGAACAGCTACACTGAAATGCGGTGGTGCACCATCATGCATGTACCACATATTGTTTCTTATTACTAACGGAACATTATCAAGCAGCAAACGCAACAGTTGTTGAAGAAAATTGAGGTAAGTCTGTCTGTCAAGTCGTCCCGGCAAGAATAATGGGGCAATAAAGTGGTTACCAATAAATCCTGCCCATACGTTAACCGAAAATTGGTGTTGGAAATGGGTTTCGGTTACGGCATAGGGATTTTCTTCTGCCCACAAATGATTATTGTGGAAATTCTAAATGGCATTTCGAGAAACATTAGCTTCGTCCGTAAACAGAATCATTGATTCAAATTGCGAATTTTGTGTATTTTTTTTAAAATACCACTGACAAAGGGTCACAAGCTTCGGAAAACTAGTGGGAAGTAATGCCTGTACTCTTAGAATATGGTAAGGATATAATAAAAAATCCACTAAAATTCTCCAAACTAGTTGATGGCAAATATTTAAGTGTCTAGCGATCTTCCTCGTACTCGTTTCAGGATGTTCTTCGACTTCGTGCCACACTGCTTCCTCAATTTCAATTCTCGCACTTAGAGGTCTACCTTCAGATGTTCCTTTTCGGACAGAACCAGTTTGAACAAGACGACGATGAATATTAGAAAAGGTTCGACTATCTGTCAAAGCACGATCGGGATATCTCTGGTGATAAATCCATCTGGCTTGCTCACCATTACCGTCGGCAAGGCCATATACGTAATGCATTGCCGGCATTTCTGCATTATTAACAAGATTGTAAAAACTAAATAATGAAAAAGATGTCACAGCGAACAGATTTGAATAACAGAGACTTGCCAGATGTCAAAAGCCAGTGACATATTCCAGAGCAACTAGATATTTATTGCTAAATTGCATTCTTCAATTATTACATTAATTTTCTCGGACAATAGAACGGTTTTTATTTTTTTTACTCAAAAATGGCGCATCGAAACAAAAAAAAAACAATTCAAGAGAGATCATTTGTTTTAAATTGGACGGGGAATTCAAAAATAATTTTTTTTGCCAAAAACTATTGGCGATCCATTTTTTTCTTAAAAAATATTGAAGTCAATACCCGTGATTGATTAGATTACGAAATGATTCGTAAGGCATTTCAATACCACATGTCCACAAAAAACTAATTGATAAATCGAACTAAGAAACGAAAAATAAATAATTTATTTATTTATATACAGTTTGGGGTGTTAACAGGTAAACCCAACGCACACCGTCAGTGAACTAAAACTAAACTTACATAAAATATCGTAAACATATACATATATTACCTTATTGAATACTTTAATATTAATATTTTTTTATCTTCCGATATTGTTGTAACAACATAAACTGAGTGAGTAGTTCTAATTATAAGCAATAAACTATGGATTTAACCTTTTTAATAAAAGGAGTATACATAATTTGACATTTACTTACGTTTAATTAAAACTGAAATTGAAATTATACCAGAAATGATATTGGAGGTGATAACTTGAGTTATGTAAACGAAATAAAACATTTCTATTTTAGTCTGCCATAGAGCTGTGATACTGATACTTTAAAGACTTTTTCAGGAAGGTCAAGCTAATGTTAAATAAATCTATATTACAGAAATTATTATGATTTTTTTGAGCCCTGACCAAAGGGGAATTAAGCCCAAGATTAGTTCTACGGAACGGTATTCTAAACAGATGATAGGTTCTAAACGTTCTATCAGGAGTTTGCCAAAAGATCTGGACAGTCAGTGAGGCCATTCAACAATTTATGAACACAGCAAATGTCAGAAATCGTTCTTTTATCTTTTAAGGAAATCATATTGAACTGTTTCATAATTTGCGTATAATGATGATCTGTAACAGGTTGGTGAGTTTTATGTGCTAACATCTTCAAAAATTTGTGTTGAATTATTTCTATCCTGGCTATATGTACATTGTAAGATGGATTCCATATTACTGATGCAAACATCAATTTGTTGTGTACCTATATAAGCGTAGTACAATGAAAGAAGCATTTTTGGGTTCGTAAATTCTCTGCATGTCCTGTTTATGAAGCCTAGTATTCTATTTGCATCGATGTGCTACACGTGAGTGATGAATGAGAGTTTCTCATCAATGTATATATACCCCTAGGTCTTTTACTACATGAAGGTTTTCCAGTTCTGCCGTCCCTATCTTATATCTGAAATCTACAGTGTTCGCTATGTTTCTAGTGAGCCTAATGTAATGACATTTTGTTAAATTCAGGAAGATACTGTTTTCAGTGCAATACTTTTGCAGAGATTCCAAACCGCTTTGAAGTTTTACACCGTCATTTACATTTCTAACAATAGTAAATATCTTTAGATCATTAGCATATAACAAATACATATGTACTGAAATGAATAACAGAAGTAAGGTTGTTCATGTATATGTTAAATGTTTTGAAAAGCTGAAAAAACACCTTTTTATAGCTAACCGAACTAAAACGTAGAAAATAGTTTTTAATTACAAAAAGTTTATATTATAGTAGTAGATGGTTGAACCATCAATCATAATTAATGAGCTCAAAATAAAATTATAATAAAATTTATGTTATTCACAGAATAATTCAATTCAGAGTGAAAAGCGTGGGGTGCATTTTACTCCGTTTTCATAAACTATTTGTAATTAAAAATTATTTATATTTTTGAGTTTTTTTAACCATTGTTTATTTTTGCTTTTTGTTAACTACCTGATTACTATATGATTTGTATAGAGATGACTAAAAAACATAGTTTTCAATTTTATTTTGTCATAAAATGATTTTTTTGTGCATTTTATTAATATTCCATTTTTACCGATGAATGCAAGAACTTTTATTCTCATCACTTTTTCTTGGAAAAATCTTTGCTTTTCTTGAGAACTCAACTTGCTATGAGACGAGGCTTCAACAAAATCGAAGGTTTTTCGAAAAGAAAAAGTGATAAGAATAGAAGTAATCACCTGTTTCATTCCTCCATAAAGAGGAATATTCACGCGCAATTTCGGAGCTGTACCTATATCTGTTAACGAGTTCCGATTAAAGAAAGAATGCACAATAAAATGTATAAAGAACGCATTTTATGACAAAAAAATGAAAACATTGTTTTTTAGTAATCTCTATACAGATCATGAAATTATCAGATGAAAAGGATTTAGAATACTGCTGCTAACGTGTAGTTGAAAAAAAATTTAAAAGAGGGACGTGCTACCTTAAGAAACACGTACAGCTACAAAACGAATTCACAAGTGTACAAGAGCTTAGCTAAGTTAACAACTTGTAGAAAAACCTACGTTATGTCACAAAAAACCTACGAAATGTAAAAAAAAATTGACAAAATGTCACTTTTCAAGATTCGCGATTCACGTGCGGATTCTTGAAATTAATATCGAATTGCCGGAAGTTTATTTCAAAATGTTGGCCTTTATATACAAAAAGAGAGTTTGTGGATGGTCTCAAATTATTGTTACTTGCATGTAACTCCAATCCGCCGACATTTTACCGATTTCGAAAAAACCTACCTCCATTATCTTATGGGTATATGCACTGAGAAAACGTGGCCAATTAATCAATTGTTCTAGAAAGTTTCGATTACCCGAAATAAATCTCTTGATTACTCTAAGTAACTAAATTATTCGGTTTAATCAAACTGAATTTTCTGGAGCCAGTTCAATAGAAAGTAATATTCTTATTTGCTTGAAAGTAGCAAACCATGTAGTTTAGGTCAGTTAGATTATGTAGAAAGGGTACATTTGAAACAATTAAACATTTTAATAAGAACAGTTAAACTGTTTATTTCAATCGCGAACTCGGCAGGACTTGGCCCTTCATTCGTGAATGATCGGGAGTATGCGACAGACGCAGTGGCGGTGACGCGCTTCGAACCCCTCCGTTTATGCGTTTGTGATTTTCGCGATTAGCTTCATATT